CTGAAACCTAAGTTTGCATGTGTGGTAAGCAATACAACTAGCCCCAGGAAAGTAATAAACACATTCAAATAGCCTACCCTACTTTCAAAAGCACATGCTACAGATCTGAAGAAAGCAAGCAACACTCATGTGTTACCAAAAGTATTTGAGAAAATAAGTAACAGTAAAACAACAAACCAGTTAAGTACCCTGTGATGCTTCTTCTGTGAGGCCTGAGGGACCCAGCCTCTCAGGGTTGGGACAACGCTTCCTTTGCTACCAGGGAGAGGACCAGCAGAAACTCTTCTGGGTGGCACTGGGCTGCTGTTCTGCCTGCACACTCTGATTCGCTCCATGACTTACTCTCTCCACCCTTTATTTAGGTTTGGGGTGTTTTCCCACACGCTTGCCCCCACCCTCAAGTGTGGAAGGGCCTCCAAATGCCACCCTCTGGGAGGGTGTGCCCATCCCCCTGGTCCCTGCTTCCCCAGGCACCACGATTCATTTCATCTCCATCCCCCAAGAGGTACACCAGTTCCCTAAGGGCAAGTCAGCGTTCCTTAGCCATCTCTGTGCGCAGAAGCAAACGCCCGATGTGCTCCCGTTACACAAGTAGAGACTGAACAGGGCCGCTGAATACGGGCATGGGGAACTGATGCACCTGGTCCTTGGGCTCAGTGTGGCCTTCTACGAATTTTGTGAGGCACTAGTATAGAGGCACTAGCCCCAGTGCAGCATCTATGCAATCATGGCCAATAGGTCCTCTCCCTCTCAAGTGTTCTGGTCACTAAAAAAGTTTAGGCCGGCGTTCCTCCATCTCCTTTCCCACAGATCCATGTGCATTTTATTCTGTCGCATTACTTTGATTTGCCTCAAATTATTCACTCAACAAGTAAGTACACAGAAACTTTCGGGGAGGTTGTGGTCAACAGTGGGGCAAGCTCCAACCCCAGAGCCTGCCCTCTGGAGGAGGAGGCATGAGGAACACATGTGGGCAAACAGACACAATCACGACAGCTGGAGGAGGGCCAGTGCTGTAAGTCAGGCGAGGATGCACGTGACTTTAAACTGAGCCTCAAGGACCGAGAGCAGGGAGGGAGCCCCTCCTCTTCTGGGCTGTTGAAGTCAAGGGAAAGCACAAAAACAAACCCAAAGCAGGGTGACTCAGCATCTCAGAGGAACGGAGAGGGGCCTGCATGGCCACAGTGCAGTGGAAACAGGAACCACAGGTGGCCAGGGAGGAGATGGAGACCAGGTAAGGCCACTGAACCAAGCCGTGGAGTCCAAGCAATATCCTAAGGCCATGGGAAGCCATGGGAGGGGGGTGTTTTAAGCACTGGGGAGAAAGGCTGCGTGTTTTGTAAAGATCACGGCACAGCTGTGGGAGCCAACTGTCAAATGCATCATGTCCTCAGCGAGGTTACCCAGCACAGCCACAGAAACCCAGAAATGTCCCTACTGTCATGCCCAGGCTCGGGAAGGGCTTGCTAACTGAAGAATCTAAAATAAACTGCACTTTAATCCTTTAAAATATTTTACTGTGAACTATAGACACAAAGGAATTGATGCAACTTGTGTGGACTCCTGCAAACATGCCATGATCAACACTGAGGAGCCTCCTCCCCACAGGTGGCCACTCTCCTGTATGAGCCAGTCATGCCTGTGTTCTTCTTACAGTTTTATTCCCTCAGTTTCCCTAAACAGCCACTTGTGGAGCTGAGCTGGTGTCTGAACTATGTACAGATGAGCTGTCCCTAGTGTGTCCCTTGTGACTTCATCCTGGGTCCCCCACAGCTCTGGGGCTCTCCCTGATGACGTGTGGCTCATGTCTTCTATTCCTGAGTCCCTCCTCCTTGTTGGACAGTAGTCCACTGCTGGCTTGGCCAAAGTTCACCCATCCATCATGGATGCGCATTTTGAAGGCAGCTGATCTGGGGCCATGATCATGTGAGTTCTCCTCCTGGGAGTGGAATTGCAGGTCTCAGGGCAGCACCACACTATCTTGTAAGTGGATGTCGTCAGTAAGCTCCCTCTGCTCTGCAGCTGTGCCAGTGCTCAGTGTTTTCTCTCTTGTTTTTGCCATTCCAGGGCGTGAGTGCATTAGTCCATTCCAGAAGGTTTAGGGTCAGCTCTTTCAACCAAATTCTCATAATTCACAAGTATCTAATTAAAATGTCTTGCAATGAAATCCAGGTCCTCTCTCTGTACGCATCAGTGACAGAAAATGATCCCCAAGTCAGACTACAGAGCAGTGAGGGGGTCGACCCTACTCAGCAGTTCACCCAGAGGCTGCAGGGGCCCAATTCCTTTATGCTGCCCCACTGGGACGCGTGATGTTGTGGAGCTAGAGCAGAGGCCACGGGTCTTTCAAATACTTCTGTGACATGCCCAGACTGAAAGGAAGCTTTGTAGAAGGGAGACCATGGGCTTTGGTCATGGCTGGGTGGATGCTGTGAAGGTCAGCCACTGCTGTATGGGTAATGTCCTTCTGACCACTCTGGCTTTTGGTCTTGCATTGCCCACCTGTGGGGCCTTGACTCCCCCAAAGGCTCCTGCTGCCCCTGCCGTGAGAGCCCTCACACTGCACCTCACCGGTCTCACCTCAGACACATGCTGGCATTCCAGCATGCTCGCCACCACACCTGTCCTGCCTCTAATTTCACCTCTTCTGAGCCTTGACACAAGTATAATACATTCCCTTGGCTGCCACACAGGGACCAAAGACACCGTCAACATGAGAGGACACATGTTCAGAGTATTCTCATTTTCATTACGCAAAGCACAGGCTCTAATTCATTTACCCCACTAATGCAAACATCAGTACCACACAATCATAAGCAGAGGATACATTCGTCACTGGTAGAAATGCCAGAAGTTTCTATCAGTTAGTATGCATTACACACAGAATGTTATTTTTAATAGAATGGAAGTATTCAGGAGTTTCCATGTAAAAAAAACTCCACGAATATTATAAAGAATTAACATGGAGATTAGTCACTGTCATTGTTTAGGACAAAACAAAGATAGATAAGCATTTAATTCATACTTTCTGGAAGGTATAATGATAAGATGATAATGTCTGGGTTTTTAGAAAAATCAAACCTGTTATCCATTTCTCTCTGTTTCTGTCTTCTCTTCTCTCTTTATCTCTGTCTCTCTTTCTCCCCCAAACTCTACCCCATGCTGTTCTTTGCTCTGGGATCACTCAGGGCCATGCAAGATTTGGTTTCCTGAAGAAGGCAAGGGAGACCATTGGAAGTGAAGACCAGTGTGAACAGATGCATAGGTGTCAATATGCAGGCCAGGTGGAGGGCAGCAGTGGGGCTCAGCATGGCCAGAGTCCCAGGGAGGGACGTGGACAATCCAAGCAGGGTGGGGGAGTTTGATCTGGACTGGTCCTAGTTACAGAGAGACTCTGGCATTTTGAGTACAAGAAACAGATTCACCCTGGTTACCGTAACAGAAGGAGGGGGTGGGTGGGGCATTAGTGGGGCTGGGGCTGAAAGCTGGCCAAGGTAGGGGAGGCAGGGACTCCTGGGCCCACCCAGGCCCTTGCTTCTGCCCTGTCTTTCTCACTCTTGCTGGCCACAGCTCCAGCTCAGTTCCACAGCATCCTAGATGATCTTTGGCTGTGTCCCTGCAGCTGCAGGGGTGAGAAGGGGCAGGGCCACACGGACAGCTTTCTAGGCAGCAGGACAGTGGCAGCCTCATTTCCATCTCGGGGGTCTGAGTTTCCAGCTAGGTTAAGACTGCAACTCTCTCTGTGTTGCCTTCTCTATCAAACTGCAGTTCCTATTATCCTATTTGACAGATTCTGGGCATGAAATACCAATTTTCCTGTTGTACGAACTAAGAAAATCAAGTCTTTGGAGCTCCTCAGAGATAAAACTATATTGCCTGAGCCTGGGGGTTCAAGACCAGCCTGGGCAACTTGGTGAGACCTCGTCTCTACAATAAATCACAAAAACTAGCCAGACATGGTGGCATGCATATGTAGTTCCAGCTACTTGGGAGGCTGAGGCAGAAGGATCGATCGCCTAAGCCCAGCAGGTTGAGGCTGCAATGGCCGTGAGTGTGCCATGGCACTCCAGCCTGGGCAACAAGAGTGAGACTCCAACTCAAAAAATTAAAAAAAAAAAAAAAAATAAATAAATATATATATATATATATGTATAACCATAAAAGTAAGTGCGACTGTCGTATTACTAACTATGAACAAGACCATATTAAGTAGGGTGAGCTCATTATCCATTTCCCCTTCTCTGGTTCCAGACTTTGCATAAAGAAGGGAAGGACATAAAGAAGGGAAAATATGCAGGAGAGGGCAGGGATGTGAGCACGGGCGCCATGGAAGCGAGAGAGAGAGTCTGGAACTAGGGACGTCTGAGACGTGAAAGAAGAGCACTAACACAAACAAGGGCCCTGGACAAGGCCTCCCTCACCTTCTACTTGCCTTCTGAAGTCAGACTGTAGGCTCCCTTGAGTTTTGAAAGAAAGTCTCTAGTTCCTCTGAGAGAAAAAGCTAAGAACAAGAACGTTCTCATGAAGTTAAATATCAATCTACGTTGTTTCTAGATAAGATTTAGAAAATATCTGTGTTTGCTTTTACTTTGAATGAATTGAGCATTTACAAAAGTTAGAGATGAACTTAACACAAAATTGCTGCTTGCTTTGCCTGCATGGAAGTTGGTATTGCAAGTGCTAGTGCTCACTTGAAGGAAAGGCCTGACACCTGGCTGGGCCACAAGAACAGAGCCCAGGACAGACTGCTTCCTTCGGGAGCCACCCAGAAATTACTCCGACACACCATCCCTCCACAGCCGCCAGACCCCCAAAGTCCTAAGCACCCACAGAAGGCCCAATAAAAAGTGGCTCAACACTAATGCAACTGCACCGTCAAGCAGGCTCATCACCCTCTCTAAGACAGGGCTGGGGAAGAGATGGCACTCTAAAGCAGAAGTTTCTGCAGTCCTCTTACCAGCTCAGGCGAGGCCTTCTAAACGTTCCTCTTCCATTTGCAGGTTTTGTCCTGGTCATTGGGCTGGTAACTTTCTACAGGATTGGCCCATACACCAGCCTGTCCTGGTCGTGCTACCTGAACATTGGCGCCTGCCTTCTGGCCACCCTGGCAGCAGCCATGCTCATCTGGAACATTCTTCACAGGAGAGAGGACTGCATGGCACCCCGCGTGATTGTCATCAGCCGCTCCCTCACCGCACGGCTTCGCCGTGGGCTAGATAATGACTATGTGGAGTCACCATGCTAACAGTCACCCTTCTCAGGACTTTGTGAATATTCACTATAATGGAATCATCTAGAAACTGAGGGACTCTACCAAGGCATTTTCACTGCTTGTGCAGAGGTGCATGATAAGTCTGGGTGCCCTGTGTACACGTACGTATCATACGCATGTACTATGTTATATATAAGCATATTATATGTCTACATGTGGTGTGTGGCACCCTTGTTCTGCCATGATCTTCTCCAGGCAGCACAACATGACTTCCCACTCACACATGTTTCAAGGGTGGAGGCTAGACCCTGAGGCACAGGTAAGGCAGTGCGTGGCCACCCTGCTCTCCACCTTGGTTTGGGATTAATTTATTCGACATCTTCAGAGAGGGGCATCCCCAGCCATATTTTACACTTTGGTAAAGCAGAACACCCAGGCAGATTTGTTGAAATATCCATGATATTCCTTGAGTGAGTCTGAATTTATAACCAGATAGTAATGATTTTTAACAGACTCATGTTCGTGTATGTTTCTCTCCTGATTATTTTTCTAAGTTAAAAATAAATGCAAACCTCTTAATTCTGTCTAAAACTTGTGTTTTATCCACCTATACTGCCACATGGGTGAAAAAATTTGACCAATTTTTCTGTGATTTTTTTTGGGGACTGACATTAAGAGTTGAAGTGACCTATTCAAAGACCTGGGAGCCCACGCCCTTATTCATGAGCCTGTTCAACCGAGTCTCCAAAGCCTATGTTCTTACAGACTCTCTAATTAACAGCTAGCAGAATAAGAGGAAAGAAGTCTATTTGCTTTTTAAAAAAATTCAAGAAGACAGGTTCACTTTTTTCCCCCAAGAAAAATCTTCAACCTCTCTTCAGCAGAATGCTTGGTGGGACACAAAACACCTCCATGAGGCTACCTTGATTCCAAAGAGCCCTGTTTCTTAAATCTGTAAGAGATGAATAGTCCATAACTCCTTGGGTTGGGCAAAAACATCTAAGATCTGCACCTCAGGGGCCAAAACTGACCCATGTTCCCCAGAACCCAAAACCTATGACCATGGTTGCCTGACCACATTTGTAACCATGGTCCTGGGGCCCTGCCTGGACGCTTCCTCTGACCGGTGCTGTACTGCTCAACCCCACAGCCACCCAAAGGCAGGGCTCACGATTGGCATCTGCCAGAAGGAGAAACACGATGGAGCTGGTGGTAGCATGCAAAGCCAGGGCCTAGCCACCTGGCTACCCACCTGCTATTGAATGTTTAGCCTTACTGCTTCCAACCTTCCAGCAAGCATAAAGTGATCAGTTTGGATTTTGAGCCCGTGTTGCTCCAGGAATCTGTCTTCAATTGATGATAATTAGAAAGCATTTATGGACTGACCATCTGCGACATGCCTAGCACACAGTGCAGATAAACAGGCTCGTGTCCACGAAACACACTGACGCAAACAGTTGGCTCCTGACATCCCCCACTCGACTTTTTTTCTACAAGGAATTTTTATTTCCAATCATATGCTAAAAAGAATAGTTTTAAAAGAATAATGGAATATCTAAGACTGTACAATTCTGCTAATATTATGCACATGACATTATAAGCGTATATCAAAGTTTTGAACTCGGCCACATGGTCAGTTACGTCTGTGGTCATGATTATAGTAAGTGAAAAGCAATCAGAGAAAGGCCGGGCTGTGGCACTCAGCCTCTCTGATGCACATTCACAGTGGAAAGTCCTTGTCTACACAGCTAGTGTGGATAAGCCCTGCCCAGAGGGAATGAAGGTTTGGCCAGGCTGTTACAGAAGGACAGTGGGCCGGGGTCCTGAACCCTCTGGGACATTCTGTGAGGCACTTTCTGTGTAACAGGCATCTTCACTGCCAGATGAAGGGAGGTCCTCACTCCAGGCAACTTAATTCTATGCCTTTCTTTTCCCATTTTATATTCGCTCTTCAATACTTTTTCTACCCTTTGGAATTTATATTTTTTGAGTCAAGGTTGCACTCTGTCACCCAGGCTGGAGTGCAGGGGCATGAGCACAGCTCACCGAAGCTTTGACCTCCTGGTCTCAGGCAATCCTCCCACCTCAGTCTCCAGAGTACCTGGGACTACAACATAGGCCATTCTTATATTTTCTATAAAAATGAGGTCTCACTATGTTGCCCAGGCTGGTCTCAAACTCCTGGGCTCAAGCGATCCTCTCATGCCTCCCTAAGTGCTGAGATGACAAGTGTCAGGCACTGCACCCAGGCCCGTTAGAAATAAAAATCCATCAAATGCTCTTGCAAAGAATTTCTGAATTCTCTCAGGAATGGTGCTTCTAGTCAGCCCTTGAATGATAATTTCTTTTACAGCAATTTTAATTCTGTTTTTGCTTTGCTGTTTTTAGTGTTTACTTAGCAAAACCTTTTCTGTTTATGAGGAATTACTCCCAGAGAGACAGGCATTACAAGTATTTAGCAACTGCAGAACTTTTGACTGGGAAGCGTCCAGAATACTTCAAAATAAACCAAAACAATGACATAGCCCGAGAGGCTCCCAGCACCACTGAGGCTGACAGCCAGGCTCACTGGCTGCCCACAGCCTCCTGGGCATCGTGAAACGTATCTGCTGTGCAGCAGTGTACCAGGTATGCCCTGGCATCTGTGAGCTTGGTGGCATTTCATTGAGTGGAAAGACCATGAAATACACCATGACACAGTCACAAGAGAGTTAATGATTTTAAAAAGCTAATTTAGAAGAAAGGCATAAAGAAAGGAAAGAACCTAAGAGGTGTGTGTACATCATCTCCAGACATCTCAGGGAATGAAATCCTCACCTTTTGATGAGTTTGATAGATTTGAAGGCTTCGTCCATGTCTCCAACGGTGATAAAGAAGCTGAAGTTGAGCATGGCATCCCGAGTGGGTTTGTCACAGTCCTCTAGCCCGACGAAGTCTCGCAGGGGTCTCCAGGCGACCATCTGGGGGGTATGATGATACCCAGAATCCTCCTTGTCTTCTCTATCTGCTTCTTCAGGCTAAATGACAAAGGGCCCCATTTGTTTGTCGATTCCTATGTAAAGCAAGTGCCTATACCCTAGCTCTTCCTCTAGATTTATCTCAGTTATGGGGAAAACATGTATCTGCAGACAGATATGGGTATTCAGCAACAGGCCAAGGAGTCCCTGCCAGATGCACTGAAAACCTTTGCATCACTGGAAAGGATCAGAGCTTTTGGCTCTGGTTTTAGATAATGGATAAACAAAGGCTATATCCCTGCAAACTCATTTTTCAGTCTCTAACTCACTAATCTCAAATTTTCAACAGTTAAGAATGATTATACCAGGCTGGGTGCAGTGGCTCACACCTGTAATCCCATTACTATGGGAGGCTGAGGCAGGAGGATTGCTTGAGCCCAGGAGTTCGAGACCAACCTGGCCAACACAGCAAGACCTCGTCTCTACAAAAAAAAATTAGTCAGATGTGGTGGCGCACACCTATAATTCCAGTTACTTGGAAGGAAAAGGTGGAAGAACTGCCTGAGCCCAGGAGGTCAAAGCTGCGGTGAGCTGTGATCGTGCCACTGCACTTCACCCTGGGTGACAGAGCAAGACCTTGACTCAAAAAAAAATTTTTTTTAATTTAAAATTAAAATAATATTAAAAAAGAATGGCTGTAACAGTTCCCATGTCCCAGGTATGTTTGTCAACTACAAAGACTTTTTTTTACATGTATACATATCCAAAAGCTCTCCTGAAATTAGGAAACAGCAGCATAATTTCAGGTAGAATTTTCCAAAACAATAACCTGGCTTACTCATGTACCCTCTACTTGTGTTTTTCAGACATGTCATCAACCTACTATAACACTTCCCCAATAGGCACACAAAGAGGAACATTTCAATGGATCCTAACATAAAAGCACAATTCTAAGCTTGTACTGTGTGTGGGGACAGCCTCCTTGCCTGGGCATCTTTTTATATCTGGCACCTTGAAGAAAGAGATCCCAGGGGGAATGCTGTCCCTGTGACAAGTCCTTTCAACTGCTCATGTTCTCTTCAGTCATGTGTTCCTCTCTCCCTGCTGGATCAGAGGCTCTGCGCCCCAGGCCCAGGGCAGAGCCCCACCCCTGTTTACTTCTCTGTCTCTGCAGTCCCATTCCTCTGACTTGCTTGCATACTCCCTGTGGGGGGGGTCATGATACACCCTCCCTGGGCCAGGCTTCCCTGGAAGTCTTCCATCTGCTGCTACTCTGTAACTTCCTGAGGGGTGACTCCCACCACCTGCCTTCCCAGCTCAGCCCCATCAATTCCCCAATCTCCTTTAGAAGTTGACCTGCAGTGCCTCCTTTAGAAGTTGACCTGCAGTGCCAGTGAGCAGGCCTTACAGAGGACACAGAAGCTGACCTGGGCCTTGAAAAAAATGGATGGGATTGTCAGACCCAGCCATGGGTGGGGAGGCCCTTCCAGGTCAGCACGGAGCATGGGCAAGGGCCTCACGGCAGCCCTCAGACTGGGCAGCTTGAATCTAGAGTCCATGGATATTTGTAACAGGGCCACACACAATCCACTGAGTGATAAAGGGTTTGGGCTCGTTCTACACTGTGTAGGAAACTGTCAGAAGCTGTACAAGGGGGACCAAAAAACCCCGGAATTTACAAAAAAGTGTGTATTTATTCTTACATGTTTAAACTTCAGTCACTGTCAAAACACTCAGTTTGATGCACGACATCTTTCGAGACACTTTTTCCACCACTCAAAACAGTTTTTGAACTTATCAATTTTGATGCCTTTTAGTGCTTCTGCCATTTTTTTGTCTCACCTCTTTCACACTGGCAAATCATTTTCCTTTGAGGAGTTTTTTCATGCAGAGAAATAAAAATAGCCACTCAGAGGGAGACCAGATGAATAGGGAGAGGAGGGTATGGGGGTCATACCACTTTTGGTCAAAAACTGCTGACCACTCAGCACTATGTAGGCAGCTTATTCACATAAATTACTCATTAAAAAAGGGGCGAACGCATTAAAAGTATCTCCAATAAAAGTCACTGAAGCTGAATGTAGCCTCTCACAACAACAGTAGCTGGTCCACTGACGCTGATGGATTCCTAGAAGATCTACCTAGTGGGGGAAGTCTGCACTACAAGGAGCCCACCCTCCAAAAGATAATTCTGGGTTTTTTTGGGTCCCCCTTGCATGTACACAAATGCAACAGGAACTCTTGCCTGCTCTGGTTTAATACGTTGCGAGGAATCAGCCTAATTTTCCACAACAACGTCAGCCTTGATGTGGATCTAGTGAGACCCAGCTTGCTGTGTGAGCGCACCCAGGAATTCTCATGATGATCGCATCTGCCTACAGCCCTGGGAGTAAGGGACTATCTATCCCATGTCACAGCCAACTGGCTACACAGTGCAAGGGCTGAGGCCCAAGAGCTGCTGGACTCTAAGCCACTATTCTCAACCCTTGGAGAAAGTAGTTGAATGTAGGCAGAAAAAAATCTGAATGAAAGCAGCTTTAAAGGAGCAAAACACCCTATGGCTATTTCTCACTCCATTTTAAAAGCTGAATTAATCAAACTCCCTGTTTTTCAAATGTGGGAAACTAAGTACTTCCCATATCACACACACCAGTGGGATAGCTTCTTGTGTCACATGTCCAAGCTTGGACTAAAGCTAGGGAGCCACTTATAAGCTCTGCTAAGTGACAAGGCGCCATGTGCAAATAGAGGGCTGACACCAAGTATCTCTGGCTTCCCAACAAACCTCGTTACAACGAAAATGCAAGCTCAGCAGAAAGTACCAGGACACAGACAACACACTAGCTTAACACAAAGAGAGAAAAGGATCTGGGAAAACTACAAAGCGAAGGTAACAGAACAGCCACCTGGATGTCTGTACTTACAGCTGCTTTATACATGCCTCCTCTCTGAAACAACAACTATGAGCAGTGGTGCATAAAAGAAGACAAGAAATGAGAGAGAGAAAAGAAAAGACACATGAATGCGTAGAAGAAACAGAAATCCATAATGTAAACTAATGGTGAAAAACTCAATAGAAAGAACTTAAAATATCTTTCAGAACTTTTGAATCTTCAAATCAAAGCAAAATTAAAGTGCATAAGGATCATAAAATAGATTGAAATTCAGGAAAATGCCATTCTGGTGATACTAATCTATTAAAATAAGGGAATAAAGAAAACATGTATTGACAGGTAGCAGGGACTCCTTACGCTAGCAAATCACATCGATACTTTCCAGTCTTCACAAAGATCAATCCATTCTACCGCAGGCAAAGATTCAGTATATATGTGACCCATCAGGCCAATAGTCATGTGGTGACCTGGGAAAAACAGAGCCAACCGCACACCAATGCATTCGTGTTTCACACGCCGCATCTGGGTGCAGCTGGCTGTACACGAGGTTCTAGGAGAATGAGAACCAGAGACCTGCCCACATCTGGTCATATAACTGCCACAAATCAAGGAGCAGCACTACCCCCATATTCTTTATGCCAAATCCTGTTGAAGTAAATACCAGCTCTGGGAGGTCTGGGTAGAGACCATACACTTGATTTGGCTATGATGGCAGTTTACACAGTGAAGTTAGCGTTAGCTTCTGTGGCTATGTAGACACAGCCACACACAGGACTGTCCTTCCTCTTCTCTAAATGTCCCTCTGAGTCTAGTCTCCCTCCATCCCAGTTTAAGTGCCCCCACCTTTGTATACAAAAGTAACACATGCTAATTATACAAAATTGTAAAAGGAGACAGTTCATTCTTAAGACTGATTTAAAGTCACCTAGAGCAACTCTTTGGTACCCCTCTCACTGCTGGGAGCTTTCCTGTCTTAACAAAACTCCTTACTTTCTCAAAAAATAAAATAAAATAAATAAATAAATAGATAAAGAAATAAAAAAGTAAAGTCATCTATGCACAAAGCCAAAAACAATCTAGGTAAAAGTCTACACAGTTTAGTCCTTCCTCTGATATGACAGTAAGAAGAAAATGGCAGGGAAGCCGACCCACATGCTCGTTGAGGTGTGAGTCCTACAGGAGAGAAATGTCTGCATTTTATGGAAACAGCAGCAGCCAGCGGTACCCCAGGTCCTGAGAAGCTGGTGGCCCCCAGTCCCTCACCTGTGGGGGCTCATCAACAGGCGTCAGCTCAAGACACAATCCTGAGTCCTTAGGTCCAAGGCTCCTTTGTGGGAAAGCCCCATACATGCTCTGGGTGTTCCCGGAGGCTGAGAACAACTGGCCGGGTGGCAAGTGGAGCCATTCACTCAGGGCTGAGCACTCCAGTCTGGTCTCAGATTGCTCTTGGGGCAAACATGTGTCACTTTTCTGAAGATAAACCACTGATCCTGTAATCAGCACATCATTCCAGAAGCAGAGAATGATTTGATTTCAGTCTAGAATGGACCTTGGTGATGCTGGGACTAAGTCCCAGGGAAAGTAAATAATTCATTCTAAATAACCTATTGGGGTAACTACACACGTGTGCAGCAATGATCCCATTCTACCAAAAACTGAAATACATCCATGCATGTGACTCATATACATGTACGTAGGTTCAGAAACCTCCAGAAAGGAGGCACCAGCCTACTCATGACAAACATCTCTTGGCTGGATCATAGAGATTTGTACCGTCTTTGGCCTTAGGTTCTTTATTTGTAGATACCAAATTTTTTTACAGTGAATATAGGAATATGTAATTTTAAGAAAGGAGCTAGAAAACACACACACACACACACACACACACACACACACACACACAAAACTGAAAGATGTCAAGTCTTCAGGGGAAAAGCCAAAAGAGAAGAGTGTGGAGTCCTGGCCCCTGAGTCACAACCAAGAACTCTTCCACCTGGTGACGCTGCTCATCAGCATGACTTCTGTCTATCCCGAGAGCAAAACCACTTCGCCTCATTTTTCCCAACACAGGAGACCTCAGTGTTTGCTACAATTTCAGGTGACGGATCATAGCAGATGGCTGATCTCATTTACTGAGAGGTGAGCCCCATGGAACCTTGAGGGCTATCTCACATTTCAGAACCCAGACAAGCAGGGGGGAGAAGAGAAAATACCTGTGTAGATTTCATGAGATTCATACCTTTTTTGTGAAGTAATAATGGGGTACTTCCATTCCCAGAAGAGCCTGGTAGGCAGGAGGCTGGGGAAAGCTGTCGTGAAGCAAGAAGCCATGCTCTTCCGAAATGAAGAATGACAAGATCAAAACATCGGCCTGGAACAGAAAGAAAAATATCGCTCCAGTTTTAATCTGGCAATGCAGTTTTCTATTTTGCTTTTGCTTTCTATTTTCACTGCCAGAATGTTTACAAATATCTAGAGAAAGTAGAGAGAGGAGCATGTGTACACACAGATCATCAACTCTTCTCAGAGGCTCTACCAGGGGTTCTCAACCTTCTGTCTGCTCCACTTGGGAACACCAGCACATCTTTTGGAGGAACGCACCTCATGCAGTTTGTGACAGCCAGATCCTTCTGAGTAACTGATGTCTTGTAGCAAAGGCCAATCCTTCCCACCCCAAGTTGGTGACGAAACTCAAAAGAGCTCTAGTGTTGTAAAAGTTCTCCCCTTAGGTTTCCTTACTCTGATTTAAAAATCAACCATAGCAGCAACAAAAAAGAGTCTCTACTCTGCTTTACAGAACAGGGACTACACAACACAGACTGAGTGCTCTGCTGGCCCTGTCACAATTGCATGAGCAATCCCAGGACCACGTCCCTCTCCTGCAGTAGCTTCTGAACAGGAAACAGTAAGAGAGGAGGGAAAGTGGGCCTTTCCTTGCTACCATGGTGTGAATTCTTGCAGTTGTGCATCCTCATCACAAAAGACAAAAGGAGCTACTTGACCAAACTTTCAGGAAATGACCTTCACAGTGGGCTACCTTCATCACTGCCTGGAGTCATCACTATACTCTCTATCTTGAAAAAAAAAGCCTCTTGCAGTTTCTTCCTCTTCTTTATCCAGTGTTAAAGATGATACCTCGACACATTCTCCTGCTGAGATTCAGACGCAAGGATTGGATCTGCTTCTGAAATCTCAGGGTATCGACACAGACTGCAGATTATCTCAAGGGCCCAGACTTTTACCACCCTGGGAAGGGAAACTCCTTTGGTGCTGAGACAAGTCATGAAGTTTTAGGGCTGACCGTCTTTTGCTGACTTATTTGAGGATCCTACACATAAATTCCTCTAAGAATGAGTGGGTTATAGAGAGACACACGCAAATCGCTGGGCTTTCCCAGGGAACGTACGAGGTCTTGTGAGACACAAGACTTGGAACATGTCAGAGTCCCAGCTCCTACTGGTGGCTACGGGTAGACGGGCCCCAGGGTACAGTTCCAGGGCCCTGAGAGTTCACCAGTGTGGCAGTGGGAGGCCTCATAGAGGTTGGGGAGCATGCTGGTGAGAACAGAGGGCAGGGACAGAGGTAGGAAACTGCTTTGGTGAGAATCTGCCTCGTGTGAGGGGCGCGGAAAGATGGAATGAATGAGCAGTCGGGCATGCTGCCTCAGATTCAATCACATGGTATGCTGACACCAAAGGGTTAGTTCACAAGCTTCCGTTAAGAGCTCTGTTCTAGAGGGAGGATAACACGTGGTAGTTAAGGTAACAAGAGAACCAAATAATGACATTAGGGCCAGACCAGACAGAAAGGGTGGAGCCAGTCCATGGGTGGAAACCTCAAAGAGGAGACACCACACCCTAGTTTTTGTGCCCAGCTCCAAATGAACCTAGTGGTCATCAATTCACAGAAGCGGTTCTGAAGCTACAGTGACGCTCCTTCCAGTGGGAACCATGAGGCCAACTCTCCACTCCACATGTATGAATTTTCATAATCATTTTCCCATAGACAATGTTACAAAGATCTTAAGGCTGGCAGGTGGTCACTACGTGTGTCTAAACACAAACGCTACAGGCAAGGTAGTACCGTGGGGCTGGTGCTCCGGTCTGCGAGGGACTGTTGGTCTGCGGCCTGCGGCTGGGCGCCCAGCACTTCCTGCACAGCCGCACACACAAAAAGCCTGGGCTCACCCTGATCCCAGAAATGGCTCACGGGAACATAGTTTGTCAGTCTCTCATCTGCAAAGAGGGGGGTCCTAGAAGAAAAGGAAAATGCATCCTCAACACAGGGGCAATACTCTTGTCACCAACCTCCTGCACGCATTCGTGGGTCTCGAGGCACTGTCCCCAGGCCACAGTCTCAACTTTGCAGAGACCCTCTGCACCCCACGGTGCCAAGCGTCCTGTCGGAACAAAGTTTCTCAGATTTTAACAAACTGGTTAAGAGGCCGAGTAAAGTCTGGTTTGAGAGAGACATGGAAGCCTGATGCTTTGACTCTGGAGGTCTTATGGAGGGTCCCAAATTCTTCCAAAAGAAAAAAAAAGATCTTTTTCCTCTTCCAGGATCTCACAGGCAGACTTCACAGTGGACGGAACCCCCTGCTGAGCAGTGTTGAGGCTCCAGCTCAACCAAGGATTGCGGTCCCGGGTTCTTGTTCCAGCAGTGACCCTGTGTGATGCTGCCTGCTGTACCTGGGTCCCTCCCATTTCTAAAGTTTTATGGCCCCAGAACTCAATGAAGCACTGTAGGGAGACAAAATGAATTGGGTGGCGAAGAACAGATAAGACCTCATAGGAAGGTACCTGCAGTGAGGCAGCCCCTGAGTCTCATCCGCCACCCCAGGACTATAACACACTCAGGGTACAGGGTGGGGCGCTGCCAGGCAGCATAATCCATGGTGCATGTGCAGAACAGAACCCGGTCCTGCACAACATGAACACCCCTTACGGATGCCACCTGCACCCAACACTGGAGATGTCCCCATGGCCATGTCTGGCAGCAGCACTGCAGAAAGCAGGGCAGAGGAGACAAGTGAGGTGCCCCAGGCAGGGCGTCTGCTGAGGGTCCAACATGCCAGGGACACAGCTGGCTCCTTTGAAGCAAGGAAAAGAGAATAAACAGAAGGACAGTGGGTGAGACTTGGATGTGGGAAAGGACTCAGAGACTCCTGTGGCTCACCCAAGAGAAGTCGCACACGTGGGCACTGAGTTGCGAGAGAAAAGCATGAGCTAAAAGACATTTCTGACCAAGAAAAACCAAGGGCTTGGGTCATAGGAAGCAGGGGTTAAAGGAAAGGTTAGTTCCGATGTTTTAAACCTGGGTGGCCAAAGAAAAGTGGTGTCGGGGTGAGAACTGGAACTTGGAAGTCAGGCCAAGTCAGGTATCAATGTCTGAGGCTGGGCGAGGTCAAAGGAGAACCAGGTGAGAAGTGAGAAGTGAAGGTGAGAAGTGAAGATGGATGTGTTCGGGGGGAGTCACCAACAGAGGGGTATGGTAAAGTCCGCCAGGTGAAAGTAGGTTCTGGAAAAAGATATGGGAGGAAGGCATGTGGTAAAGAGGCAGGGAGAACTCAGTGGGAGGCTGGACAGAGGTGTGTCTGAAAGGAGGGGCCTGCTAATGCTAGCAAAAGTCATGGCGCAGTAATAGAGTAGAACAAAACAGGAGGCCCAATCCATCAGTCACATTTCTCTGCTCCTCCATGAGCCACTGGTGCAAGCCTGAAGGTCCCACTTTTACTTCTCTGCTCTGAGCATACTCCGCTGCATAGAGACCCACACTGAGTGTCAGCTGCTGCATCTCCAGTGACAAGCAGGCTGACTCCATTCATCGGCCTTCTGCAGATGTCTACGTGGCTTCACGGGAATCGAACATGAACTGTGGGTGAAATATCAGCACTTAAAGTTCCATGAATGCTTTCTTAGTAGCAGAAGGAACTACCAATGCATGTTATATTAACTTCCTGAAGAAAGACAACAGGCCGGGCACGGTGGCTAGCCTGTAATCCTAGCACTTTGGAAGGCGGAGGCAAGAGGATTGCCTGAGACCACAGGTTCGAGACCAGCCTAAGCAACACAATGAGACCTCGTTTTTACAATAAATTTTTTAAAAAATTAGCTGGGCATGATGGCGCATGCCTGTAGTTCCAGCTAACTGAAAGGTTGAGATGGAAGGATCATCTGAGCCTAGCAGGTCAAAGCTGTGGTGACCATGAGCATGCCACTGCACTCCAGCCTGGATGACAGAGTGAGACTCTGACTCCAAAAAAAAAAAAAAGACAATTATTTTTCCTAGAAATACATTCTCTTCAAAGACAAATGCCCTTCCTGCCATCAGAGATGCCAATGGTTCTGAGGTCTACTGCGTTCCCTGTGATTCACAGACACTCAGCCGTAGCCCTTACAGAAGTTCAAGTTTCTACTCAACTAATATCTGACCTTAAACCTGGGGAACAAAGACTCAAGACTCAGATCTATCCCAACTGCCCAAGTGTGTTTCTGGTTTACTTTTTATTCTCACTACTAGTAAATGTTCAATTCTATTAACGTTTTGAAATGAAACTTAGCAACAAGCTGTGTAGAAGCTGAGAAGTAACCAAATGTTGTTTCATTTTTTTAAACATTTTTCAACAAAATTCTCCCAAGCCACAATCTTACTTATTAGTCTCTTGCCCATTAAAGGGCAGCATCTCTGTCCAATCAATCTGTCCAGTCTTAAAGTCGAAGATGGTCACAGTGTCCATTTCAACATCGTAGAAGCAGATTCTGGAATCAGGGCTGTTGTCAGCCTAGGGAAAGAGAAAGCCAGAAGGTCACCTGCCTGCCTGGACCAGCAGTTTTGTGGGCTGTGCTTGGTGGTCTATGCAGTGAATGTCTGAGAAAAACAACCCTGGTGTCAACCATGGCCACAGGCCACAGAGCTTCCAAGGAATAGCATTCTTTCAGCATTCATGATTTGAACATCAACTGCCCTTTATTTCAATGGAACATGTTTTGAATTACTACTCTATACTTTCAGATACTTGAAAACAAATTCTAAAAAAGCATGTCCAGCTGCTTTCAGTACTGACTTGAGATATCATCTTAGCTGAGGTAGGTTAAGTAAGGGAACCAGAAGGAACCTAGATTCTGATAAACCAGTTCTCATACAGGTGAGCAAAAACGAAATGAAGGCCATAAAGAAGGAGGGCGGCTGGCAACCACAGTTTGGGGCTGGCACACGAGGGGGTATGTACTGTTCACAGCAAAGAAGGCCAGGAACAGGAGGCATCACAAGGTCCAGCAGCACCCAACATGCTGGGGAAAGGCCAGATTCTGCACACGCTCCTCAGCCCTAGCAGCCCAGTGGAATTCCTGGGAACTTTAAAGGATAGCGTTATATTCATATGTTCATAGCAGCACCATTCACAAGTGCCCCAAAGTGCGAGGCCTCCAGGAGTCTATGGACAGACAGATGGATAAACATGAGGTCTATCCATACAAAGGACTATTACCCAGCCATAAATAGGAATGAAGCACTGATAGACAGACAGATGGATAAACATGAGGTCTATCCATACAAAGGACTATTACCCAGCCATAAATAGGAATGAAGCACTGATACCTGCTACAACGTGGATGTACCTCAAAAACATTGTGTTCAGGAAAAGACCCAGAAACAAGAGCCACATACTGCATTTCTATAAAATGTCCAGGATAAGAAAATTCAGTGACAGACACAGATTGGGAGTTGTCAGAGGCTGGGGTGTGGGGGAATGGGGAATGATTGTTTAATGGGCAAGGGTTTTTCTTTTGGAGTAGCGAAAATGTTTTTGAACTAGATAGAGGTGGCGATCGCACAACACCGTGAATGTACTAAATGCCACTGAATTGTTCATTTTAAAGTGGTTAATTTTATATTACGTGAATTCCACTTAATTTTTAGAAAACCTATTTTAAGGAAAAAATGTTAGTACCCCAAAGAGCACCTTGGGCCTTTACTAACTAAAGTAAATGTTTCAAGTAGCAGGAGGAAGAAGGTGCCCTGGGCCCTATCCCCGCGGCAGCAGCAGCAGTACAATGGCAACTTCCTGGGGACAAGTGTGTGGGTCTTTTCATGTGTTGATCTCCTGAGACTGCACCTTCACACTGAAACTGAAAAATAAATACCTGCTGAACTGGGGGGAAAGTGGATGCTGGTTTCTAGCCCCAGAGATTCTGACCAAGATGCCCTGGGGTGGCTTAGGCTTCAGGCGGTCTAAGAGCTGACCAGAAAACCTAAAGTGCAAAGTTGAGAAACTCTGCCCTGCACCCACTTGCATGACAATATTTAGTGATTCTCAAGGATGAGACTGTCCTTTAGCCCCACCCCCTCACAGAGAGCCAGGCCTGGGGTCCGCAAGTATGGAACTGCCCACTCACCACCTCCCAGGCACTTGTGACTCAACACATCTGCCTTCTTGGCAAGTGGCCCTTCACGTGTTTTCCTTTACCACCCCACCTGCTGTGGGGGTGAGCAACAGGGGAGGTCTTCCTCCAGCCCCTGCCCCTTCCTATGCCAGAGACAACGATCACCAGACCCCACTGCTGCCCCTCCCACCACACAGTCAGCACAATCCAGCCAGACCTTCCAGGATAGCCATGCCAGGGACCACGTGGATTCTGTAATTTAACCCATCTTCTAGAAACAATCCTCCAGAAAGACGCTATGGATGTTATCCTCTATCCCTTTGCCCGGAGGTCACTGTTAGCTCACTGACCACATAGCCTCAGCCTGTCCTTCCACCAAGGAGGCGGATTCTCAGCAAGGAAAAGGCCACATGTAGCTCTCTGCACTTGTTACCCTTCTACCCAGAAGGCTCTCCCGACCAGGCCCTCAATTTCGTACTCTTGCCTCAGTCTCAGCTGGACTCACCTCCCTAGGAACCCTTCCCAGCCTCCACGGCAGCACAACTATCCCAGCACAACACACCGCTCTGTCACAGCTCTCACGAGCTGTGGAGGTTCACTCACTTACTACCTTCATGACTGATGTCTGCTCACCCACTGGGAGGGGTGAGGCCTCCTGGTACAGAGCACCTGAGTCTGCAGTGCCCAGCAGAGTGCCTGGCCCACTGCAGGCAACCAGTCACGGTCCCTTGAACAAATGAACCAGCACTGGCAGGCTGTGGGGGGCCAACCAACTCCAAAACAGGGCAACATCATTGTTTCTCTACGTGAAATGCTTAAAGGTACACCTTCAACAGTTCTCGCCACTCCCTCTCCTGCCAAAGGGAATTCAGTTGAGGGATGAAGAAAAGAGAAGAGGTGAGGGGCTCTCTAAAGAAGAAAGAACAGTTTCTGATGAACAAGAAATGAAGGCTGGGCACAGTGGCTCACACCTGTAACCCCAGCACTTTGGGAGGCCGAAGCAAGAGGACTGTCTGAGCCCAGAGGTTCAAGACCAGCCTGAACAAGTTGGCAAGACCTTGTCTCTATAACAACAACAAAAAATAGCCAGGCATGGTGGCACACACCTGTAATCCCAGCTATTTGGAAGGCTGAGGTAGAAGGATCACCTAAGCCCTGCGGGTCAAAGCTGCAGTGGCCGTGAGCATGCCACTCACTCCAGCCTGGGTGTCAGAGTAAGACTCTGACAAAAAAAAAAAAAAAAGAAAGAAAGAAAGAAGAAAGGGAAAGGCAGGAAGTGTGCAGGCAGGTGAGGACGGAAGCACGTGAGAGACTTGGGAGAGAAGTGGTAAAGGGAGGAGGAGCTGGACACAAAGACCCGTCTGGAGGAGAGGAGCTCAAGGCAAGACGGACACCCAGCCAGGAAGGGCAGAGCCTGCGACTCGAGTGGGTGAAGAGGCAGGGCGGAGCAGCCTTCCTGGTGCAGCCAGAGCAGGGAGTGGGCCTCACCTTACTGAGAAGGATGCTGATCTTGTTCCCGCTGGCGCTGCATCTGAGGGACGTGATGGCCCCCACACTGGGGACCAGCTCAGCCAGGTTCTTGCAGTCGCAGTGCACTTTGGCCTCTCTGCAGGGAGAAAGAAACGGCCTCAGTGCAAGGGTTCATTTCCTTCCTGTCTGTATTAAGCACTTGTTGTCTACAGGCAAGTCACAGGCTAAGGACCCATTTCTCTGACCTCCCCAAAACCTTTGTTCACAGACTGAGGTCTGCTGGGCAGCTCGACTGCTTCTCACCCTGGGTGTTGTGTGTGCATCATGACATGAGGCCAAGCTAGAATACAGGAGGTGAGCTTTTCTTGCTTTTTTGAGTTGGGGTCTCATTCTATTGCCCAGGCTAGAGCACAGTGACAAAATCATGGCTCACCATAGTCTCCACCCCCTGGACTCAGGCAATCCTTCTGCTTCCACCTCCTGAATATCTGGGACTACAGACATGCACTACTATGCCTGGCTTATTTTTTAAAATTTTTTGAAGAGATGAGGTCTTGCATGTTGCCCAGGCTGGTCTCAAACCCTTGGTCTCAAGCAATCCTCCCACCTCAGTCTTTCAAAATGCTGAGATCACAGGTGTGAGCAAATAGGAATATATATATTCTTAATCCTCTTCTTAAAGTAGCTTACTACAAATGCTGTCTGCACCTTGTAGGTTTCCCTTTACACTATGTTTTGGTGATTTTCATAGCAAAATGGAGATTGCTTCGTTGTACTTTGCTACAGTTTCATAGTTTTCCATCATATTGATAAACGAAAACTTATTTAACTAGTCCCCTGCCAGTGATATTTAGTTATTCTAGTTTGTTGTTGATATAAACGATGCTAGGTATGTATTGGTAGTTCATTATAATTTTTTACAATTTTATTCCTGTCTCCTCAGTTCTTCCCTAATGTCTTTCTTCTGTCCCAGGACCCCAGTCAGGAACCTACATGACATTTGGTCATCACGTCTCCTCAAGTTTCTCTTGGCTGTGACCATTTCTCAGACTCTCCTTGGTTTTTGATGACCCTGCCAATGTTGGGGTATGCTGGTACCCCTCTATTGGGATTTGCCTAGTGTTTTTCTCATGATGAGACTGGAGTTAGGCTTGAGAGGAAGACCACAGAGGTAAAGTGCTATTTCATCACATCATTTCAAGGGTGCATGCTATCAACCCGAATTATCCATGTTATGTTGACCTGATAACTGGCAGGGGAGAGTCTGTCAGTTCTCCACTGTGAAGTCCCCACTTCCTATGCTGTGCTCTTTGGCCAGAATTCACTAAGTGTAGCCCATACTTAAGGAGTGGGAGTTAGTTATGCTCCCTCTCCATGAGAATGGGGTATTTATATAAATTATGTGGAACTCTTCTGCGTGGGAGAGCACCTCATTTTAGACTTACTCATTTATATCAGTATGAACATTTGTTTTTTTACTTTCGGTTATAATTCACTACTGCTTTCATTATTTTGTTGCTCAAATTGTTCCAACTTTGGCTGTTAGGAGCTCTTTCAAAGGGTCTGTGTTCCCCAGTCATTGCGAGGGCTTTTTTTTTTTTTTTTAAGCACCATGAGATGCTACAGCCTCATTTGTATGTTTGCTGATTTCTCCAGTAATCCTTGGCTCTTTTATTGGAGAATGGTATTAGAAACCAAGATCTGGGAACCCAGTGTGCTCATTGCTATGGGATTGCTGCTGCTTGTAGGCCCTGTCAGCCAGCAGAGCAAGGAAATCTGTATGTGTTCTAACTGGTACACAGACACATGCCTACAATTACTTGTATGTGTGGTCAACCATATCTATGTTAATCAAAACAAGAGTTCATATGGATGTCTTCCCCTCTAATCCATTATTTCACGGATAATTCTAGCACCCTCCCCTTGCTTATCTGTAACTGTCCACTCCAACAGTGAGATGGTTGGCTCCCAAGATACCATCTTTTACTTCTCTGCTTGGTTCCAGTGTACGCGTATAAGAGTATGAACTCCTATGGGAGACACCTTTACCAACTAGAGGGCCACGCTCATGTGCAGCTCCTTCTAGAGTCCTCACCCCTTCCCAGGGTTACTTAGGCCAGCACCTTTCCCCCCACACCCTTCAGTGAAGTTGTTTCATACATATGTAACACAGTTAGATTGCTTTGTTACCTCCTGTATTCTATCCTGGAGTCCTCTAACATTCTAAAGAATTTTTTAATTTTTTTCACACATTAAGGTTCATACTTTGTAACATAAAATTCCATGAACCTCAACAAATGTACAGTATTAGGTATTCATCATATAGGAAAGTTTTGCCACCCCAAAAATTACCTCTGCTTCACCTATTTAACCCTCCTCTGACCCTCTTCTGCTCCACCACCATGCAAGGGCTAAGAATTTAGGCCAAGTCATAACATTTCAAACATGAAGTGGCTTATTAATGTTGAAATGAGAACATAAGGAGTTTTCTGGCTTCTAATTCATTTTATACTCACCGCATTGTCTCCTACTAATTTTTAAAATGTAATACTTTTATTTGGACAAAGACTGTACCTTCGGGAAAGATCAAAGCTTTTAAAGTGAGCTAAGTCTGTCCCTACAACCAGGAAATTTCCACAGATGTCCAAGAAGCATGGGTTCCCCTCAGTCTCAGAGAATAGCAAGAGTTGCTTGACAGTCCCCTGAGGAAAAAAAAACAAACACAAGATATATAGGAAAGCAGCTTCTATAGCATTTCACTTGTTACTGAACATTATTCACAGATAATCTTATTTGTTCCACTCATTAATTCAATAACTATTTACTGATGGTTTAGTGTGGGCACAGTACTCTGCTAGACTCTAGTGCTACAGGGGGAGCGATGGGGGTCTGTCCTCAGGAGAGCCCTGGTGCTTACAATCTTGATGGAAAAACAGACAGCAGCTAGTCAACAAACATACAGGCATATAAACTCAGCTGAGCAAGTGATATGTAGGTAATGAAGAGGGTCTGAGAAAAGTGCCAGAAGTGGCGAGAGGGTGAATCTCATTCACTAGGGTGGGTCTGGGAGGACTTGTCTGCAGAGGTGTTATGTTAAAGCCCCCAATAATACTTGTTATGTTGTCAGTGTCATGTGAGTGGTGACCCTTGGATGGAAACTCTAGTGAAAGGAAGGGAACTTTACCAGGATGCTAGGTACATCCTAGGTAGGTCCCATTTGTGAAAAGTCACTGTGCTGTACACTTAGCACAGCATGCCCATTCTGTCTGCAGTGTTACACTTCAGTAAAATGTTTAAGAAGTGAAAGTCTTGTCTGAGGCTTAAATGGAGACCGAGGATATGAAGGAGCCAGCAATGGAGAGTTTGGGCCATCATTCCAGGAAAAGGAGACAGCACATTCTGAAGCAGGAAAAGAGCACCATGCTCTAGGATCCTTGAGGCCAATAAGGCAGAAACAAGTGAGCAATGGTGGGAGTGGCATGCACCAAGGGTGGGCAGATGAGCTGGCACAACAGAAGCAGCATCACTGCAGGAGAGGGCAAGAGTTAGACTTTATTCTAAGTAAAACTGGAAGAGTACAGGGTTTTGAGCTAGGAAGTGCTGGTACATCCCCAGGGACCTCCAAGTGGCGGCAGAAAATCAGATACAAATCTATATAAACATTTTATCAAGACTTATATACACATAGACATGGCACCATTCACAGTCGTGATAAATGTAATCATATGTAAAGATGCAGGATTAAATCATAACTGCATAAAGTCAACTCCACTGTACTTTTTTTTTTTTGGTTGATGTCTCACTCTGTTGTCCAGGCTGGAGTACAGGGGCACAATCATGGCTCACTTACCCTCGACCTCCTGGGCTCTGGTGATCCTTCCACTTTAGCCTCCCGAGTAGCTGGGACTACATGTACATGGCACTATGCCTGGCTAATTTTTTGATTTTTTGGTAGAGACGATGTCTTGCTATATTGTCCAAGCTGGTCTCGAACTCCTGGGCTTAAGCTATCCTCCTGCCTTGTTCTCCCAAAGTGCTGGGACTACAGGCAGGAACCACCATGCCTGGCCCATCCTGTGCATTTTAAACCCTGCTCTAATTTTCTTTATCATCATAGCCCATTCACTGTTGAGTGGCAATTTACCTGCCTGGTTCGAACTTGAACTCGGTTCGGCTCCACCGTATAAACACTTTCTTCGTGCATTGCTAGCACTGGAGACTCGCACAGGAAGGTCCCTAAAAAGAAAGAACATCAGGACAGCAGCAGATTTTTTCACACTCACCCAGAGTTTCAGAAGCATGCCCACACATGATCCCTAACTCATCTTGGCCTCACAACAGCTTCATGAAGGATGCATTATCTGTACCTGGCAGACGAGGAAGGTGAGGCTCTGAAGCACAGGGAACTTCCCTAGGCACAGCCAGCAGTGACAGCCCATGTAGGCTTGGGGCCTGGCATGGAGACTCAGTGCTGGGTCCTTGCCCTGCGCTCTCCCTAGAGGTGGCTCCCCTTTTCTCCATCTGGTAGCTGGTGCTTCCAGCAGCACAGCATCTGAGAGCACAACCATTTAAGCAGGTGTCTGCCTATCTTATGTAGAACTTTGGAGCCATCATCTCCGGCTCTAAAGAGGTCCTTATCTAGTTAGGGAGATGATGACACACACAAAACACAAAATAGCTTGGCACCTGCTGTGTTGGTACTACTGAAGGAAATAAGGAGTTCAGCTTTGCTCCTAAGATGTCCAGATAAAAGAGGGGAGAAGACACAAATTATCGGCATAATACTAGGTATGGTGCAAAAAAATGTTATAAGAGAACGTTAGGCAACAGAGTGTTAGGGCAGGGGAAAAATGGGGGTGTGTGAAAGATCTAAGAGAGAGGTGATAACTAGAGAAAAGCCTCCCTAGAAAGGCAGGGGATGTTCAAACAAACATCCCAATGACTGGAACACCCCAACAAAAAGTCCTCTTGTGAGTTAGGAGAGTCTGGAGGTCAGGATGGGGAAAGGTAAGAACCGAGGAGGACAGCAAGTTGGGAGTACACCCTGATGACTGGAGCACTGTAATAGGCTGGAAAATGTCCCCCAAAGACATCAGGTCCTGATTCTTGCAACCTGTGGATATTGTATGCCAAAAGATGTCACGGTCTCGAGATGGGGAGATTATCCTGGGTTCTCCAGGTTGGCTCTAAATACAGTCACAAGTGTCCCTACAAGAGGGAGGTAGATTTCAGGCAGAGGGGCAATATGACCACAGAGACAAAAATTGGAGTTTTCTGACCACAAGCCAAGGACTGCCAGCAGCTACTAGAAGCCTGAAAAAGTAAGAGATTCTCTCTAGAGACTCCAAAGGAAGCCCAGCCCTGCTGATGCCTTAGTTTTGGTCCAGTGAAACCGATTTTGAATTTCTGGCCTCCAGAACTATGAGGGAATAAATTTCTGTTGTTTTAAGCCACTGAGTTTGTGGTCATTTGTTACAGCAACCCCGGGAAACTCATGTAGACAAGTGCTGAAGAGAGGACAATAAAGGTGGCCAAACTGAACAGAGTTAGAGAGATTTAGGAACATGGAAGGGTGTCTGAGACTGACAGAATGTCTCTGAAGATCCATTCTGAAATTTTCAGAAGCAGGCCATGGTCAAGATACCATGAGGCACTGCTATGCGTGGTCTGGAAACACCTCAGAAGGTAACCACCCCTTCTCTGGAAGGAACCTCTCGAAAGTATGGCGACTGTTTACACTACGCAGGAAGACTCAGGAGGGTGTGCTGGGCCCAGATCCAGCTGCAAGTCTCAACCACCTTGACTGGGTTCAACAGCATGCAGCCCTAGAGCCCCAGGAGGCCCTGGCAGCCCTAGCTGCAGTCCTGGCTCAGGCACAGGCAAGAGTATTGACACAAGGGTCCCCCCAGCCCTTGTGCCAGCCCCTGACCATACCACAGGCACCAGCACCCCCTCATTAGGTGGTGAGAACATAAAGCCAGGAGCTGTGAGTGCCTCTGATGGGTGAAGACTCTCACCTGCACTCTGCATCGTGGACCCAGAAGACTCAAAGATCACCACCTGTGTTCCATTCCAGACAGCGACTGCATCCTATAAAGGCATCCAGAAGCAAAGGTCAGGAAAAGTGAGATGCAGATAGCAGACCTCCTGCACATTGCCAAAGCCTTCTTTCTTCTGCTTTAAATATTCCCAAATGTTGCCATTCCATTACCCTGACAAGATCAGATGGTCGAGTCCTCAGTGGACACAGGTTCAGACTGTTTTTCATGTTACATAAAATACCTCTGGGTTTTTGTTATTTTAAGAATAGGATGTATACGGAGACTCAGAAAATAAGATAACACTGGATGTAACTGAGTGTGGCCCAACTTGCCATCCTGGCCCCTTGCTGCCCTGAATTACCCGCCAACTAGGCAGGGCTTTAGTCTAAGGTGAAGACCCCTCCTTCGGCCCATGGGTCCCCTCGGCAGTCACCTTGGTGGCGAACACACCACTGATGTGTATGTCCGTGCGCAAGCTATGTGCTACCCCTGTGGATAGGAAGCACACATGCAGCAAGCTTGGGGACACTTGCACAGCAGCCACTTGCTGGTAGAAGTGTGATGACATGGCCCGCTCGCTGAGGATAGCCACAGAGCTGACGTTGTTCACTGCCAGTAGGTTCTTCCTGGAGCCCCACTTCATTCCCATGTTGGGAGAAAAAGAGCCAAATGTGCGAACAGTGCAGAAGAAAGATATAGTCAGGGAATGTTTACACACACAAGGATTCACAAACCATTTCCCAAGCACCATTTATTCTTCGTGTTTAAAAAGACTTGAAAAATTTCTTATAAAGGCAAATGTGTGCTTTGTAGAAATATTTTAAAATACTGATACTTTAAGAACTGTGATTCATAGCAAAAACATGGAACCAACTCGGATGCCCATCAAAAGTGGACTGGATAAAGGAAATGTGGTACATACAAGGGGGGAATTCTCTTTTGGAGGGCAGGCTCCTTGTAGAACAGGCTTCACCACTAGGGAAGTGTTCTAGGACACCACTGGCATCAATATACCAGCTAAGCATTATTGTGAGAGGTTGTGTTTGGCTTCAGTCAATTTTGTTTTGTAGATTTTTTTCAATGTGTTTGCCATTTCATGATGGGTGCTTTACACAAATAACCTGCTCACACCGCACTGAGTATTCAACAGTTTTTGACCAAAAACGCATGACCCCCATGCTCCATCCTCCCTATTCACCCAATCTCGCCCTGACTTTTTTGTTTCCCCGTATGAAAAAAATCCTCAAAGGGAAACATTTTAAGGATGTGGAAGGTGAAACAAAACAGTAAAAGTACTAAAAGGCATCCAAATTGATAAGTTCAAAAACTGTTTTGAGCAATGGAAAAATCATCGCAATAGGTATATTGCATCAAATAGAGAGTACTTTGAAGGTGACTGAAGTTTAAACATATAAGAATAAATGTATAATTTTTTATAAATAAATTTTATTTTTGGGGTCCCCTTTGTATATACCATGCAATACTCCACAGCCATAAAGAAGGACAAAATCATGTCCTTCAAAGCAATGGATGCAGTTGGAGACCATCATTCTAAGTGAAATATCACAGAAACAAAAAACTGAACACCACATATTCTTACTCATAAGTGGGCACTAAACATTGTGCATACAGGCACAAAAGCAGAAACAACAGACACTGGGCATTGCTGAAGAAGGGAGGGAGAAAAGATAAGAGGCACACAAGCACCCACTGGGTACCATGTCCACTACCAGAGGAGAGGGCTCGCTAGAAGCCCAAACCTCACCTTCACACAATCTACTTATGTGGCAAATCCTTACATGCACCCCACAACTCTAAAATAACTGAATAAAAAGAGTTGTGAATTGGCAGGTAGTCACTTGTGTGTCTGTTCTCACTGGAAGGGCGTCTTCTAGAATTTGCTTTTCTGAGTGTGATATAGAGATGTTTACTTTTTTATAAATGGATAGACAATTTACATAATATACAAAATTATCCAGTTTTCCTCTGCTGATGTGAAATGTCAGTTTCATAATTTTATATTAAACTTCCAAATATAACTAAAATATTCAGTTTTCAACAAAAAATTAAAAGCCATGCAAAACAGGAGATTATGACCCACATACAGGGAAAACAAAACAAAAAAACAGGCATCAGAAACTGCTATGAAACGGTCCAGATGTTGGTACTTAGCAAAGACTTCAAAGTAGCCACTGTAAATATGTTGAAAACACTAAAGGAATCAAGCTTAATTAAGTAAAGGAAAGTATGATGACAATATTTCCTCAAGCAGAGAATATAAATAAAGAGAAATTATAAAAAGAGCCAAATGCTCAAGAGAAATGAAAACATATGTCCACACAAAAATCTGTACACAGTGTTCATAGCAGTATTAGCCAAATATCCATTAAAGTAGTGAAGGGATAAACAAAATGCAGTCTGTCCATATAAGAGAATGTTATTCAGTCATAGAAAGGAATAAAGCCTGACACATGCTGTAACATGGCTGAACTTTGAAAACATCATGTTACATGAAAGAAGACAAGCCGGGCTCGGTGGCTCAGCCTGTAATCCCGCACTTTGGGAGGAGGTGAGTGGATTGCCTGAGCCAGCGGGTTCGAGACCCACCTGGGCAACTTGGCGAGACCTTCTCTCTACAATAAATCAAAAATCAGCCGAGCGTGGTAGCGCATGCCTGTAATTCCGGCTCCTCGGAAGGCTGAGGCACAAGGATCACCGGCGCCCAGCAGGGCGAGACTGTGGTGGCCGGGAACAGCCACTGCACTCCAGTCTGGGCAACAGAGTGAGACTCCAACTCAAAACAAAAAAAGCAAAAAAAAAGAAAGAAGACAAAAGACCACATTAATATGTGATTCCATGTATATGAAATATCCAGAATAGGCAAATCCTTAAAGACAGAAAGACGATTAGTGACTGTATAGGGTCGAGGAAGAAAAGGAGTGACCACTAAAAAGTAAAGATTTTTTTTTTTTTTGAAAAAAAAAGAAAAGGCTGTACTAGGCTGAAGGGCAGTGGCCCACTCACAGCTACCACAGCCTTGGTCTGTTGGGTTCAGGCAATCCTTCCACCTCAGCCTTCCAAGAAGTTGGAATTATAGGCATGAGTCACTATGCCCAGCTAATTTTTTGATTTATTGTAGAGATGAGGTCAAGAAGTTGGAATTATAGGCATGAATCACTATGCCCGGCTAATTTTTTGATTTATTGTAGAGATGAGGTCTTGCCAAGTTGCCCAGGCTGGTCTTGAACCCGTAAGCTCAGGCAATCCTCTCATCTCGGCCTCCCAAAGTGCTGAGATTATAGGCGTGAGCCGCCGTGCCTGGCCTAGATTTCTTTCGGGGATAATGGAACTGTTCTAAAATTTACTGTGGGGGTAGTTGCAAGAACTCTATAAAGATACCAGGAATCACCTGGTGTGTGAATTATATCTCAGTAAAGCTATTTTTTAATATACAAAGGGAGACCCTAAAAACTGGAATTATCTTCTGGAAGGCAGGCCCCTTGTAGTACAGACTTTTTCCACTAGGCAAGTGTTCTAGGAACCCATGGGCATCGGTGTATCAACTAGCATTGTTGTGAGAGGCTGTGTTCAGCTTCAGTGAATATTTTTGGAGATTCTTTCAATGTATTTGTCCATTTCATGATGGTTGATGACTTACACAAACAATCTGCCACACTGAGCAGACTGTTCAGCAGTTTTTGACCAAAAAATGAAATGACCCCCACATTCCACCCTCCCCACTCACCCAATCTTGCCCTGAGCAACATTTTTCTTTGTTTGTTTCCCTGGATGAAAAAAGTCCTCAAAGAGAAACGTTTTGCTGATTTGGAAGAGGTGAAATAAAAACCAGCAGAAGCACTAAAAGACATCAAAACTGATGAGTTCAAAAACTGTGTTGAGCCAGGCACAGTAGGTCATGCCTATAATCCCAGCACTTTGGGAGGCGAAGGTGGGAGGATTTCCTGAGCCCACAGGTTTGAGAACAGCCTGAACAACATGGCAAGACCTAGACTCTACAACAAATCAAAAAATTAGCTGGGCGTGATGGCATGTGCCTGTAGTTCCAGCTACTTGGAAGGCTGAGATGGAAGGATCGCCTGAGCCCAGCAGGTGAAGGCTGTGGTGGCCGTGAGCATGCCACTGCATTCCAGCCTGGGTAATAGAGTGAGACTCCAACAACAATAACAACAACAAAATCTCACAAAACTATGCTGAGCAGTGGGAAAAGCATCTCAATAGGTGTATTGCATCAAATGGTGAGTACTTTGAAAGTAACTAAAGTTTAAATATGTTTGAATACACAATTTTTTAATAAACAAATTCCATTTTTGGAGGGTCCCCCTCATATCTACAGATAGAAAAACATTAATAGACAGAGATAGAGGGATGGGTAGGTAGATAAACAGGTTCATAATCTCTTGTCTGCAATTTTGAAATCCAAAAGGTCTTTAACATGTTTTTATTCTTATTTTCATATAGTCATAAGTTGAATAACTAATACATAGGTTCAAAGTCAACGACTTCTTCCACTTTAGTGCAGCAGAAAATGAGTGTACCACTCCCTGCAGAGTTGTACCTTTATCTGCTTGATGTTTCCTTCAAGCTCGGTGGGGGTTTGAAGGGTCCACCTGTCCCTGCCCTCCGCCCCTGGGCTGCACGGAGAGCTTGGTACTTTTCTCCACATGGCTACTCGCCCTCTATCGGTGCCAGCTGCCAGAAGACCTACAGGCAAAAACAAAGTGCATGTGAATTAAGTTGCAAGGGGCTGAAAACAGCAACAAGCTCCCTTCTCTGATCACCTTCTCTAAAATATTAGCCCTGCCCAGTTCAGTAACTCTCCAGTAAGCCTCGAACCTGGCCACACCTTTCCCACGGTTCGTACACTCCCTAGCCACATGGTGCCAGTGCAGGTGTTGGGAACGCTGCTTTCCGTTTTCCTCAAGACCCACCTGCCTGGCTTAGGGTGGCTTCCCAGTGCTCACCAGCAGGCACTGAGGAAACAGCCCTCTGGCACGTCTCCTATCCCTTCTGTCCTCCATGTGTCAGTGCACATGTGTGCATATGCACACATGCATATATGTGAACACGCACACACTCTTCCTGCACTGTCTTTTCTGGAGCATTCCAGGAGGGAATAGAGACCAATGTGCTTGTGGTCAGTCTGTCACATTTTTTACCAAACCCTCTGACCTTTACGTGGGATCACAAAGCTTTAGTGTTCCTTGCTTGTCTTTAATTGACATTATTCAAATGACTGTTGGTCACAATTGAGTTGCCTGAGCACATAATGCTTGCAGTTGGTTCTGTCTCTCATGCCCGGCCAAGGAGCCTCACCTTTGACTTTACAGTAACAAACACAGTTTACATTCTCTCCTCTTTCAAACCCAAACTTCTCGTCTGGACTCAGTATGTAATTCTCTCCTCGTTCTAAATCCCAGAATCTGCAACAGAAGAAAGCAAGCCTCATTAAGGGGCTGTGTTAGTGGCATTTTCCTCTGCTCCTAGGGTTTTGTTGAAGCCATGGAGTAAACATTAAAAATCAGGAAAAAGACATGATTCATCAGGCTCCTGGTATGAAAATAAATGCTATTGTCACATTTAAGACTAAATGTTTGGGCAGGTGTGGTGGCTCTTGCCCACAATCCTAGCACTTTGGGAGGCCAAGGCAGGATTGTTTGAGCCTAGGAGTTTGAGATCAAATTGGGCAACATAGTGAGACCCGGTCTCTACAAAAAAAATTTTTTAAATTAGCAAAGCATGGTGGTGCACACCTGTGGTCCCAGCTACTTGGGAGGCTGAGGTGGAAGGATCACCCAAGCCCAGGAGGTCGAGGCTGTGGTGAGCCATGATGGTGCTATTGTACTCCAGCCTGGGCGACAGAGTGACTCCAACTCAAAAAAAAAAAAAGACAATTTTATGTTCTATTTATAACCAAAGAAAGTAGTTATCAGTGGAAGATGGTTTGTATATGACGTTAGGTCACAATGAAATTGTGGGAACTGCAGTGCAGTGGCACTAGAGAGCCACAAGGAACATGTAGAGTTATGCAGCTGAACGGTAGAAAGGCCATAACAAATGATTCCATTTATGCCCAGCTCAACAAACCAGGCAAAGACATTCCACAGGCAGACATCAGGGCGGTGCTGCTCACTGGGGTGAGAACCCAGAGGGAGAAGGGGTGAGGCCGGTGAGGCCTTCAGGTCTCTAACGTTTTGCTTCTTGATCCGGGAGCTGATAACATGACTTGTCCCACTTGTGAAACGTCTTTTTTTTTTTTTTGAGTCAGAGTCTCACTCTGTTGCCCAGGCTAGAGTGCAGTGGCATACTCACTGCCACCGCAGCCTCAGCCTACTGGGCTCAGGTGATCCTTCTAACAGCCTTCCAAGTAGCTGGAACTACAGGCATGTGATACCATGTCCAGCTAGTTTTTTTATTTATTGTAGAGACGAGGTCTCACCAAGTTGCCCAGGCCGGTCTCGAACCCATAGGCTCAGGCAATCCTCTCACCTTGACTTCCCAAAGTACTGGGATTAAGACTTAAGCCACCACACCCGGTCAGAAACTTCATCATCATATGGGCACCTACTGTATATACGTTATGTTCCAGGGCTAAGCTTCCCCTTACAAGAACATGCTCCTGATAGAGTTCTCAGAAGGGGCAGGAAAGACAAACTCACCTAAGGGTAGTTTCCCCTGTGGCCATCACCAGAAGGCTGCCTTCAATCAAAGCAATGTCTGCCCAGTGACCTGTTCTCCCACTCAACTTGACCTGGACAAGGAGAAAGCCACCAGAAAGAAACAAGTCACCCTAGCCGAGACTACCTACTGCCGTGAGTCTGGAGCCTGGTCTTCAGAAGACTCACAGAGACTCACCAGGGTGAAGAATGGAGCCCTGAGAGGTGGCCTTGGTTTCCAAGACATGGGCCAAAGCAAACTGTTATTCTTACACGTTAAATAACATATGGAGCAAGCACCTGCCAGCAGAGGCATTTCTCTAGAGCGATAGCTTAGTTGATAGCTAAGCTCCCAGTTTAGCCACGGCCACACCTCTGGGCAGGTGTCACCATCCCTCTTTTGCAGAGAACAAACTTGCACAGGGCCCAGCAGTCAGTGGGTAGCCGAGCAGAGGATCTGAAGTCAGGTACCATGGACTAAAGTTCCTGACTCCCAGTGACTGTACTTGCCTTTAGGAGATAAAGTTAAATGAGGACTTAAGGGTGGGTGGCCCAGACCTGCTAGATTGTGATATAGGAAGAGATACCAGAGAATCCATACTTCCTCATGTGCCACACTCTCTCCCCATTCCCACCATGCAAGGACACAGTGAGAAGTCCCCAACTGTCTGCAAGCCAGGAAGGGTACCTCCCATCCCACGAACCAGATCAGCTAGCACCTTGATGTGGGACTTCCAGCCTCCAGAACTGTGAGTGCTAAGTGTCTGCTGTCAAACTACATGGTCTGCAGGGGGTTGTCACGGTGGTCCGGACTGGCTAAGACACCAGATTCACATGATAAGGGCCCATGTCCTCAGCTGCTGTTACAGGATGAATGTATGACCAAATAAGCACTAACAGAAAAGTTAGCTCTGTAATCTATAAGGATGTCTTTAGAGAGTTCAGTGCTCTCCAGGGAGCATGGACTCCTGCATATAAACCGAGAAATCATAGGAGGGCAATGACAGGCAGGACCCACAGGCAGGAGCACACAGTGCCCAATGCCTTCACCGCGGGTCTCCCATCTGGAAGGTTAGTCCCAGAGCTGGCACTGCAAGATGTCTAAAAGGACATCATGGTGTCTTTCAGTAGACACAGTAAAGCATCCATTGCCCAACGAGGGTAAGTTTAACACACATCCCTAGGGTAAAACAACGTGCACACATGGGCAAGAGCAGATGGGAAGGGTCTTCCCACCGAGTCCTGTGTGGAGGTCGACCAAGAGGCTGCCAAATGAGCGTGTCATTCTTTGTCATACCCCAGGTTGTGAGGCGTATGGCCTGGGCACAAGCCCGGGCTCCCTCCCAGCTCCCTCCCAACACACCCACATCCTCCCAGTGATGCAGGAGAGTGTCCATCTCTTTTGTTTCCCTCACCGTGAACTGAATGCCGTATGATAAATAGTGATATTAGGCAGCCATGTTGGCTGCCATAAGCAGAGACGACCAGAGGAAGTATGGTCAAATGAGGCCAGAGGGGATCTGGACTGAGCTCTCATGCACAAGCCTGCGGCTATGAACGGGCCCCTCGGGGCACCCAGACCCACTCCCCCACTCACCTTCATCACTTCTTCGGTTTTGCCCTCGGGAGTCACTGTGTACAGGGACAACAGGAGATTCTCCGTAACCACCACCAGCACCTGTCTTTGCTCCATGTAGAATAGCGCCTGGATGGAGCTGTCTGTGGAGGCCACCTGCGTGGTCTTACCCTTCTCGTCCACATAGTGCACTGTCCCTGGGGGCATAGGCGGGTCAGGTCACTATACCAGGCAGCCCTTGGGTTGTCAGTTTTCATGAGATGCAAGAGCAGCCACTTCTGTCTCCTTAGGACTTGTTCAAAACAAAGCATCTTCATTACAAGAATGCAAAAGTGAAATGCATGCCACAGCCTCAGGCTGCCAGCCCTGAGGCAACCTCCAGGTCATGGTTCATCAGTCTTCGATGAGCTGCCTCTATTGACTGCCTTCTCCCATCCTGGAGGACCTTAACGTCCACACTGTCAATTCTTCTGATGCCACAGCCTTGAGACTCCAGGTCTGTCTCAGTGCCTACACCCTCCACACGCTCAGGCACTAAGTGACAACCTCGCTCTGCCACCGCTCCCTGTCCCTTCTGTCCCGGGGGCTGTTGCTGTGCCACCTGGCTCTCTGTGGGTCTTCTTGCTCTGAGCCACAGGACTCAGCTGCACCGAGCCTAGAGTGCCCCTCTCCCACCCTGCTCCAGCCCTGGCCGTCCACTCTGTTCCTTTCTGGGCATCTGGGCTGTGGGGTGAAGCCCACAAGTTTTTAGGGATTCTTCGGCTCATCTCGGCTGCCCCGCAGGAGCCTCCTCACCTCCCAGCTCCTCCCATCCTACTCCCAGGGGATAATGAGTTCTTATTAAATGGAAAGGTTCAAGGATCTCTAGGGACCAATCATAACAATAACTAGTATTTAGTAAGCACATACTACATGGCAGGTTCAGCTCTATGTAGTTTTATAGGTAATTACTAGGCAGATACTAGTATTACCCCATTTTCCACATAGGGAAGCTGAGGCCCACAGAGCAAAGCCTGCAGCTCCAGGCAACAGACGGGCAGAGATTCACACCCATCTGTTGCACCGTGCACCCCTCCACCAGGTGACCCACATGTCTTTTTCTTGTGTGCCTGGTCCCCACACTACCTTCTCACTCTCCATCCTGGCATGCCCCCTCCTTGCTACCCCACAGTTCTGTGCCCACACAGATGTCCCTTCTAGGCTTGTCTCGATACCCCCTCTATCGGCTCTGTCTCTTTGCCTTCTAAAATGAAAGGTTTCTCTTATTGGAAAACTATGAAAAGTCCACGGCTGCTCTCTTCGTCCTATTAATTCCTATTACTCAGCTGCTGGTGAAACCAACATGAAAGCCAAGTGCAGCTCCTGGCTCCTTGGTCTCCCCAGCAACAGACAAACATCCGTGACTACCCCATGAGCCTGGAAAAGGCTCTGCTTTTAACTTCATCTTGCCTGTGTTTCAGCCACGGCTGGGGCAGCCTAGCCCCCCGAATACACAGATAAGGAGCTGAGGGAAGACCAAACACATGGTACCTAGTGCTGGCCACCCAAGAAGGCTAGGCTGGCTATGGTTGCAGCCTGGAGTGGAGCCTCCATCCTGCTCACACCTCATCCCCAGACTCCAGCCGAGTACCTGGCACGCAGTAGGTGCTTGATAGCTACAGATTGAATACTGTGGTGCCACCAGAGAATCTTTTCAAAACTGCCTCTGCCGTCTCTCATGCCATGCAGCTGGCATGTGATTGCTAATTAAAAGCTTCCTCATGAAAACCATCCAAGCACAGAGAAAGCGCAACCTGTCTATCAGAACAAAGTGAAGTCAGCCTTGGAACACTGGGCGGATGCTGCAGGGAGGTGGCGGAGACGGCACACAGACTGCACACACGCGCCCCCTGCTGTTTCATGCAGAAACATGGCTTGCTTCCCATCCTGACCGCACCCCTGAGGCACCTGGTGCCCTACCACACAAGCCAAGTTCCTCACCATCCATCAGACTGACAAAGAACAACTGCCCCTCCTGAGACCCAATCTTCAAGAAACTTCCAAAGCTGCTTTTCTTCCAGTTAAACATATCCAGGGCTTTCTCGTCACCACTCACAGCCGCCTTCGCCAACTGAACCAGATCCCTGGAAGTAAACATAACAGGAAGTCAAGATTCTTCCACTGCATCTAGGGAGACACAGGGCGGGGATCCCTCCTGGGCCAGACACATCCCTCTGCACCCCTTCCCCCATGTCAACATTCGCACGGACCACTTACTCGCCAGGAGGGGGTTGCCGGAAGATGCAGTGTGTGAGGGGTTTCCCATACTCGTGTTTTAGCAGGGGTGTCCCTTGTACTCGACCCCTTTGGTCCAACTTCCACAAGAGCAGGACACCAAGCTGGAAAACCCAACACCACGTGTACAGGACACATGCTCTTACAGAATGACTGCCAGAAGGCAAAAGTTAAATGTGCAGTTGAACATATGCTTCTTCCTTTTTTAAACAAATTACAAAACCACTTACTACACATGCACCACAAAACTTCAAATAATTCAAGTGTTTAAAGAAAGAACTGGAAACTCTTCTATGACTCCTTCCCCATCTTCAGTCCCTAAAGATAGCAACTGTTACATATTCAGATTTTTTAAATAAACATTTAATTTTAGAATAGACTCAGATTAGCCAGTTGTGGTGGCTCACGCCTGCAATCCCAGCACTTTGGGAGGTGGAGGTGAGAAGACTGCCTGAACTCAGGGATTTGAGACCATCCTGAGTAACATAGTGAGACCTCATCTCTACAATAAATCATAAAATTAGTCGGGTATGGTAGCACACGCCTGTAGTTCCAGCTACTTGGAAGGCTGAGGCAGAAGGATCACCTGAGCCTAGCAGATCGAGACTGCAGTGGCTGTGAGCAGCGTGCCACTGCACTCCAGCCTGGGTGACAGAGTGAGACTCTGACTCAAAAAAAAAAAAAAAAGAACAGATTCAGATTTATAGAAAACTTGAGAAGACAGCAAAGAGTTCCCATGTACGACACCAGGCCCCCTATTATTAATTATTAATAGGCCTACATTAGCAACACTACAGTTCTCAAAATTAATGAACTAATGCTGTTAAATCACTAGTAGCTAAACCCATACTTTATTCAGATTTCCTCAGTTCTTCCCTCACGTTCCTTTTCTGTTCCAGGGCCCCATCCAGGATCCATCCTGACATGTACTCATCATGTTTCCTTAGGCTCCCCTGGGCTGTGATGACCTGTAAGCTCTGAGGTATGCTGGCTGGGTGCCCTCCAGTGGGATTCGTTGATTGTTTTCCCATGGTTGCCTGGGGTTGTGGGCTTGGGGAAGAAGAGCACAGATGTGCAGTGCCTTTTCCACATGTCATGTCCACACAGCTGGTGTTGACCTTGATCCCTGGTGGAGGCTGTGCTTGTTGGGATTCTCTACTGCAAAGGGGCCCTGTCTCCCCACTTCCATACCATCCTTTTTGGAAAGCAGTCGCTGTGTGCAACCCCACACTTAAGCAGTGGGGAGTTATGCTCTCCCTCCCCTAGGGCAGAGTATGTATACAAACTATTTGGGATTCTTCAGCAAGGAAGATTTGTCTGTTCACCATCTACATCCAAGGGGGGGACCCAAAAAATGGAATTTATTTATTAAAAATTGTATATTTATTCTTACATGTTTAAACTTTCAAAGTCCTCTCCATTTGATGCAATCCACCTACTGAGATACTTTTTCCACTGCTCAAAATAGTTTTCGAACTCATCAATTTGATGTCTTTTAGTGCTTCTGCCATTTTTTGTTTCACATCTTTCACATAAGCAAAACGGTTCCCCTTGAGGATTTTTTTTTTTTTTTTTTTGAGGGAAATAAAAATAGTCGCTCAGGGTGAGATCAGGTGAATGGGAGGCACAGAGGTCATGCATTTTTGGTCAAAAACTGCTAGACACTCAGAGCAGTGTGGGCAGGTATGTTGTCATGGTGGGAGAACTAGTAATCATCTATTTACAATAACTCAGGAGGTTTCTTCTGCAAATTGTGATGCAACCTTCTCAAAACTTCCAGACAAAAACTGATGGGCTCCTAGAACATTTACCTAGTAGGGGAAGCCTGTATTACAAGGGGCCTGCCCTTTGAAAGATAATTGTGGGGGTTTTGGGGGGTTCCCTTTCCTATTCATTCAATCATTTATTTCTGTAAGTGTGAATTCATGGATATTTATTTTCTACTTTGGGTTATAATCCAACGCTGTTTTCTTATTTTCTTGCCCAAATTGTTCCAGCTCTGACTATGGGAGCTCTCTGGTTGGCCTCTGTGTGCCTTCAGCGTGCCCCCATCACATGGGTCTTGTGAGCACTTCCCCATTTCCTGGAACTCTAATACTCTCCAGGCTCATTTTTCTATCCCAGTCCTGGAATCAGTCATTTCTCCAAGAAGCCCTGGTTCCTTTTACTGGAGAATGGCATCAGGAACAAAAATCTGGGCGCCAGGTACACTGTCTGTTCAATTTTGAAGTTATCACAGTCTCCGATGAACAGTACAGACAAGTAGTAGTGAAGTTCAAGGGAGGGGAAGATGGTGCATCAGAACTGGTTGCAGGGACTTCCGTGGCAGGAGATGCGGGTAGGCTTTGCTGAAAGGCAGTGTCTCACTCCAGATTCATGTGCGTGGCTCTCTGCCTTGATACCCAAGCGCTCCCCAGGGGATGTTTCCTGGCTCAAGGCTAGTGGACGTTTGCGCACACAGCCCACTCTTCATCCCACCTGCCTTTCAGTCAGCATGGACGCCAATAGCCCCAAATGTTGGATAACATCATGTTTCTTGCACATAGGAATAGGATTTTCAAATAATGTCAGGTTTAAAGGCAATTTACACAATAAGCCTCTGAGAAAAGATCTGTGAGACCTAAAACAATGTGTCACATATGAGTACACATCACATGAAGAGCGTGTTTTCTCACGTGATACTTCTTGACTCTGACACGTTGATGAACACAAGAAGAAAAACACTGTCGGCATCTTTGTGTTCAGTAACTCTTAAAAGGAAAAAGGCTTGCATACTGAGAGGCACACACACGAGGATAGAAGTGGTACCTTGCCCTGCCCAGACTCCTCCCTAGAGCCCAGCACTGCAGTGGCACCTGTGTGTCTGCACAGCGTTTTACACACACTCACATCTTCAGACATTCATCGCTGTGCCCTTCACATGCAATCATCCAGGACTTTTTTTTCATAAAGACTTTGGAGATCTTTGCGAACACAAACAAGCTTCCAGCTGACAACTCAGCCAGGCTCCTGAACATAATCTTATGTACACAGCATGTCCACATTTCCAAGCTGGTGCTCTGGGGAAGAAGTTGTAGGACACAAATGCTTAGAGCACCTGCACTGCAAGAGTCGTGATTTCCACTCGGTCAGATGTACATCTACCCTTGTCCCCAGAGAGGGAAGGTGCAGCCCACTATGATCAAGAGTTCAACTTCCACCCCTTGCCACGGACACAAGTGGCCCAGTGCGCGTTGCCCAGGGTTCTGCCCAACAAGCTAGACACATAAGCACGAAGCACCTAACTTAGAAACCAAGTCTGAGCCATCTCTGACTGCTGCTGCATCCTCCCACTCCTCATTCCTAATCCTAATATTGAACTGCCCCGGTCCATGAACAGCTCTTCTCTGGCTCAGTTTATTGTACTTCTCATCCCTACTGCAGGTAATCTTTTGAGTTCAGGGCTGCCTCTTCACTATCCGTGAATTCCTTCTATGTTATTTCACACAACAGAGTTTCATGCAGTAAGACCCTAAAGAAAAGCTACCTCCTCAGGTGAGAAATTAGCTCCATTTATGAAGAGCAAAGTTTGAGGGACTACTACAAAGTTAGTATGCACTAGGTAAGTATCTCAGTGGCACACCACAGCATCAAAGGTCCAGGTGCAATGGTGGATTCTCACAGTGCATCGCTGAAAAATTTTGCTACCTACTGGGGCGTAGGTTTCTACGACCCTCACGATGGGTTCCACTTGAGCTTCCCAGAGGAAGCCAGTGTCTGACTTGTGTAACATTCTCTCCTCTTCCCTCCTGATGGGATGTCTAAGGGACACTTTGTCAGGGGCCCGCCCAGTGCCCTCTTCTTGGGATCGCCCATGTCCCTGGGCACTGCTAATTGGTGTACATGTAGGTGCTTGTCCCGAGCTGGGCTTCAGGATCCCGAGTCTGGACTTGGGACAGCAAGGAGAAGCAGGTCATCCTGAGCCAGCTGTGTCCTCCTCCAAGACAGTGGACACCCCAGTTGGCCCCAGATTAAGTGCACCTTCTTGCTTCCTCTGGTCTGGGTTGATGCTACTGGTAACCAGGAAAGGATCTCTGGTGGAAAAGCAGAGACACCCCTTGGACCAAGCCTGGCAAGGAGATACATCTGTGTGTGGGGCTCCAAGGGTTTGTTCATTCGTTACTACTTCTCCTCCTGCTTAAGCTCATGATGAAATTAGTTCTAGCACAATCCTAAATTTTCTTAGAAGGATTAGATATTTCTGCTCTTAAATATTCTGACTCACAGGACTTGATCCACTCATACCTGGGTTTAATTTTATGTCTGGATAATCTTATTTTGTTAGTTGCTTATTTTTTTCCCCTAGAAACTGGATTTTGCTATGTTGGACTCAAACTTCTGGACTCAAGGGATCCTCCTGCCTCAGGTTCCCAAGTAGCTGGACTACGGTGTACACGATCATGCCCAGCTTAATGTGGTCAAGATGAAAATGAAGAAATTCAATGATCTTGAATTATTTTATTCTAATAGGGGATCTGCAGACTGTCCCACAGCAGGAAGGTGAGAAAGGTCACTAAGGAAGTAGAAGTTTAGGGGCAGGCCGATGTCATTAGGTGAGAATTGGTTAGAAAAATCATCTAGAAAAAAGGAACAACCTGATAGAAAAATGGGCAAATAATATAAACAGAAAAGGAAATATAAATGGCTCCTATAAATAATTTTCACCCTCAATAGCAAGAGAAATGCCCATTACAACACACTGAGACACTACTAGTCTAAGCAAAGTTATGATATCTTGACACAACACTCTGTGGGGAAACACGTGCAGGTTGTTGGTATGAGTTGACACATGCCACACAGAGGGTATTTTGGGAACATCCCTCAAGCCACAGGGCACATGCTCTGGGACCCATTCATACCCTCTCCAGGAATTTTTCTGAATACACACATGTGCAAGATGACAAAAGCACAAGGCTGCTCACTCTACCACTGTCTGTGCAGCGGGAGATGGAAGCCACTGGGATGTTTATCAACAGGGAGCTGGTTCAATGCATTGCAATACATTCTTACAAGGGGGACCCAACAGACACCAGAATTATCCTTTGGTGGGCGGGTTTTTTGTGGTACAGGTTCCCCTCACCAAGTAAGCGTTCTAGGAACCCATCACCATCAGTGTACCAGCTAGCATTGTCCCAAGAGTCTGCGTTTGGGTTGAGTGAATTTTGGGAGGGAGAGGCACTAAAAGGAATCAACATGAATGAGTTCAAAAACTGTTTTGAGCAGTGAAAAAAGCATCTCAATAGGTATATTGCATCAAACAGAGAGTACTCTGAAGGTGACTAAAGTTTAAATATGTAAGAAGAAATACACAATTTTTTAACAAATTGCAATTTTTCAGCGGGGGGGTCTCCTCTTGTATAATAAAAGCCAGAAACAAGGAAATCTGCTACCTACCAATACAGAAAGATCACCAAGATACACTGTAATATTCAAAAAGCAAGCAATATGACAGTGGGTATAGGAAGCATTGCTTATGTGGAAAAAATGAGGAAAATTAGGAGACAATATCCTCTATGTGATATTTCTGCCAAAAATGTTTAATCTGAAACATGAGGAGACAACCAAACATATCTAAATTGAATGATGGTCTGCAAAAACTAGTATGCACTCCTCACAATGCCACTGTCATGAAAGACAAAAAAAAAGAAAGAAAAAAAAAGAAAGAAGGAAGGAAAGACCAGGGAATTGTTCTTGATTACAAGAGACTAAAGTGAACTGACACTTAAATGGAATATATATATGAATATATTCCATATAAATATATTCCATTTAATTGTCATTATATGTAAAAAAAAAATGTTGTATAAAGCATATATATATATATATATGTATGCATTTTTTTTCCTTTTGGAGACAGGGGCTTGCTCTGTCACCCAGGTTGGAGTGCAGTAGCAGGATCACACCTCACTGTAATCTCGACCTCCTAGGCTCAAGTGATCCTCTTGCTTCAGACTCCTAAGTAGCTAGGACTACAAGTGCGTGCCACTATGCTGAGCTATGTTTTTATTTTATTTATTTATTTCTTGAGTTGAGGTCTCCCTCTGTCACCCAGGCTGGAGTGCAGGGGTACAATCACAACTCACCACAGCCTGGATTTTCTGGTCTCAGGCAATTCTCCCACCTCAGCATCCAGAGTAGCTAGGACTGCAGGCACACACTGCCATGCTGGGCTAATTTTTTGATTTTTTGTAAAGATGAGGTCTCACTATGTTGTCCAAGCTGGTTTTGAACTCTTGGACTCAAGCAATCCTCCTCCCTTGGCTTCTCAAATTGCAAGGCATGAATCATGGCACCTGGCCTATATATTTTTTAATTTTTTGTAAAGATAGGGTCTCACTATTTTTCCCAGGCTGGGTTCAAACTCCTGTCCTCAGGTGATCCTCCCATCTTGGCCTCCCAAAGTGCTGGGATTACAGGCATGAGCCACCACACCCAGCTGAAACACATGATCCTTTACTGGATCTTGGATTAGGAAAAAACCATCTGCATGAGTAAAGGACAAGTGGAGAAAATGCAGTATATATATTGAATCGTAGCACTGTATCACTGTTAAATTTCCTGAGTATGATATACCTCTATTATGGCTATGGAAGAGAATGCCCTAGGTCTTAGGAGAACAATGCTTAAGTATTTAGGGGTAAAGTAATATATCTAAGACAAACTCTCAAATATTCAGGAAAAATACATCTAGAAAGAGAAAGCAGACATGTCGGTTTTAACAACTGGTGAGTCTACATGAAGTATGGATGGGTATGTTCCTCGTACTAGGCCTTCAACTCCTCTGACAGTGTAGAAATTTCAACATCAGAAGTTAGGGAAGGAATCTATTTGCATGTGCCTGTATGTCTGAAGAAACTGAAGAGGTAGTAAGAAGCCATGTTTGCTGGAGGGCTGAAGAGTCTTTCCACTCCAGATGCCTTTTATACTTTTTAAACTTTGAAGCATGTAATGTATTGCCTGTGGTTAAAATAAACAAACACACTGTAAAATATCTGCCACATGTTTGTGGGTGAGTCAAGTCTGCACCGCATCACTCTGCTGTGGGGTCTGTCCTGTGCACTGTCCATACTGAGCAGCATCCCTGACTTCTTCCACACACCGGATGCCAGGAGAATCTAGCCCCCGCCCCAGGTTGTGACAACAAAAATTATGTCTGGACACTGCCACCTGTCCCCTGGGCAGCAGAATCAACCCTAGTTAAGAAGCCCTGAGCTAGGACAAACAGGCCTAGGGAATCCTGGGTGATGAGGGAGAGTGTCCATGGCACCGGGAGTTCTGGGTGCCATAAAGCAACAGCTCCTGGGAGTTTACCCCATGCCTACGAACGCAGTTTCCTAACAATGTTCATTTAAAAAATTACACACACACGGTTGCCATAGAGTGGGATCTTAGAATGACATTTTCAAACCTTGCTTCTGATAGTAAATGAAATCTATGATTACATCAGACAGGATCAGTTGGCAACCACACACTTCAAATAGTTTGGTCTTTAACATCCTCCCTGTGTATAAGAGCATGGTAAGAAACACAGAGCTCAGAAACCAACATCCAGTGCGTGTCCACTCACCCTGTCCCCAGACAAGAGGCAGTTCCCGCGGGGGCTCCAGTCAAGAACAGAGATGTCAGCAGTGTGTGTTGGGGGCACCACGTGCTGCTCCTTGTCCTGGTTGTTGAACACTATCACTTCTCCAGTCTCCCAGCCAACAGCCAAGACCAGTCGTGTCGGGTGCCAGCACAGGGAAGTGACCCGAAATGGCCTCTCAATGTGTGAATCGGGCAAATGCTCACCCTGTCAGACAAGAAGCAGAATTCCATAGTTCAGAGAAAGGCAGCCACTTTAAAGAATTCTGGCTAATCCATGGAATTGACATTAGCTATGATATAAAGAGCTGTTTATTAAAGAAATGTTCTTGGTAGGCTCTTACATTTTTATAAAAGCAGACCAACCTTGTCCCTGACTATCAAAGCAGCAAGTAAGAACACACAAGTGACAACCACAACCAGCTTATAAAGCATTATAAGGAACGCAACCTTCTCATGGCTGCTGGAAGGCTAACATACATTTTAATGGATGCTGTTGGGTTCCAAGGAAACCTTTTTTTTTTTTTTTTTTTTAACAAAAACAGGCTGCAGGCCAGCAGATGTGGTTTATCACTCCAACATTTTCAAATTGTGGTTCCAAGACACCCCCCAACCCCAATTTCCTTTCAGGGAATCTGAAGTTATCTTCAGAATGATAAGAAGTTACATGCCATGTTTAGTTTCATTGTCTCACAAGTCTACAGTGTTTTCCCAAGACTGTGTGACATGTGATATCATCAATGACAGCTCATGGAAAATGTGCTGTGTGTTCTTGTGCTTTTTAGAATTTTCTAAAGAAGTAGCTTTGTGGTATAAATGTGCTCTCAGACATCAACTCAGTTTGTTCTCAGTTCTTCTACTGAGCTTACTAGCAATCTTTGATTATTATTGTTCTAAATTGTTATTTTGGGCAGGGCATGGTGGCTCACACCTGTAATCCCAGAACTTTCAGAGACAAAGGCAAAAGGATTGCTTGAGCCCAGGAGTTTGAGACCTCATCTCTACTAAAAATCAAAATATTAGCTGAGCATGGTAGCACATGCCTGTAGTACCAGCTACACAGGAGGCTGAGGCGGGCAAATCACCTAAATCCAGGAGGTCAAAGCTGTGGTAAGCCATGATTGTGCCACTGCACTCCAGCCTGAGTGACAGAGTGAGACCCCAATCCCCCCAAAATAAAAAAATGGTTATTTTGAAGTCCTAAAGTTGTCTTTTTGCCAACTAGAAATACAGAAGTACACTGTTGATTTGTTTTGCAATAGTATGTTTTAGAGTTTCTAAGTTTGAAAATTTTATCTAAAATTGCTATAGTTTTGGAATGTAATAAAATTTATTCTTAAAAAAAAAAAATACTCAGCCGGGCTTGGTGGCTCAGCCTGTAATCCCAACACTTTGAGAGGTCAAGGTGACTGGATTGCCTGAGCCTGCGGATTCAAGACCAGCCTGGGCAGCTTGGAGAGTCCTCATCTCTACAACAAATCAAAAATTAGCCAGGTGTGGTAGTGTGTACCTGTAGTTTCAGCTACTTGGAAAGCTGAGGTGGAAGAATTGCCAGAGTCCAGCAGGTTGATGCTGGGGTGGCCATGAGTATATCACTGCACTCCAGCCTGGGCAAAAGAGTGAGGCTCCAACTCAAAAAAAAAAAAAAAAAAAAAAACTCCCTCTATAATACATGCTAGAATCTACTCCACAGGAACTGGGTTAGCAGGGTTTGCACTGGTACAGGGTCTGGCCACGGACAGGTGTGGCCCTTGCAGCTCTTGCATGGGATGTAGAAGCCCATAGGCTGTGGAGGGGAGCCACTGACCAGTGCCAGTACTGCACGGGCATGTGCATGCATGGGGCACTTTCGTCTGGATGCATTGATTAAGCGAAAGGTCCAGGAAGTGTCTTCTGTGCAGACAACACAGCATGTGCAGTCCTCTGGTGCCAGCATCAGGAAGGAGTATAATGTCACAGGTACAGGGCCAGGCTTGGGGGGCGCTGCAGGCCACGTCAAGGATTCTGCGCTCACCAAAGAGCGGCGCAGGGTGGAGAGGCAGGAGTAGGGAGTGATTCCATCTGCAATTCCAGAAGACCGCCCTGGCAGCCAAGTTGAGGTGGAGAAGGCCTGCTAGGAAGCTGCGCTGGCACCCTGGAAAGAGAGAACTGGGAAGGCCAACAGAGCAGCAAGAAGTATCCGGATCACCAGAGGCTCTGGGGCAAAATGGGTAGAATCTGGCAATGGATTAGAAGGCAGGAGAGTAAGAGATGTCAACAGTCACTCTCAGGCCCATTCTGGGCATTGGGACAGAGGGAGGTGCCTTCCACTGAGACGAGAGGTACTGATGACCACCTCTGCAGGGTGACAGGGGGTAGAGGAGAAGGGTCCATTTCAGTTCAGGTTGGGACTTGTGGAGTTTGGGTTTCTTTGAAACACCCAGAGATGTCACAAAGGCAGGTGGATCTCTAAGCTTGCAGATCACAGGGGACATCTAGCAGGAGATGTGCTGGTAAGTCATTCATTGAGACAGTAAATGAAGCCACTGGGGAAGTCAAGGTCACAGGAGGAGGAACAGGCAGAGGAGGCCCTGCACAAGCATTGAGGAATGTCAACAGCACTTGCAGAGCAGGAGGAAGAACTGGTGAAGCCCACACGGGAGGCCAGGTGGAGGGACACCCTAGCCCAAGCTCTGCCATGTTTCCTGGAGGACTCCACAGGAGTGTGGAGCTGTGCAAATGCAGACCCCAAACCACCCAGGGGGTGGTTGGCACACAGGGGTTGCTGATGACCACAGCAGCCTGGGAGAAGTTAAGGTGGCAACAGGAAGATGATAGAGGGTTGAGACGTGAGTGGGAAACAAAATTCCATCTCCTCTGTGAAGTACGAGGGGGGCCCAAAAAACCCAGAATTATATTTTGGAGAGCGGGCTCCTTGTAGTACAGGCTTCCCTTGCTAGGTTAAGTGTTCTAGGAAGCCATCAGCATCAGCGTACCAATGAGCGTTGTTGTGAGAAGCTGTGTTGTGAAAGAAACATCCTGAGTTGTGGCAAACAGGTAACTGGTTTTTCTAGCATGACAACACACCTGCCCACAGTGCACTAAGTGTTCAGCAGTTTTTTTAATCAAAACCGGTATGAACCCCATGTCCCACCCTTGCTGTTCACCCGATCTCACCCCCAAGTGACTTTTTTGTTTCCCTGGATGAAAGAAGTCCTCAAAGGGAAACGTTTTGCCAATGTGGAAGAGGTGAAACAAAAGACAGCAGAAGCACTAAAAGGCATCAAAACTAACAAGTTAAAAAACTGTTGAGCAGTAGAAAAGGCATCTTGATAGCTATATTGCATCAGATGGAGAGTACTTTGAAGGTGACTGAAGTTTAAACATGTAAGAATAAATAAACAACCTTTTATAAATAAATTTGGGGTTTTTTGGGACCCCCTCACATGAGGTGCAGTGGGCACTGAGAATGGCAGGGAGCTATGGGAGTTTGAGGAGCTTGGAGAAGGTTTCTGTCAAGGGTTGATCTGTGTGCCCCTCAGAGATATGCTGAAGTCCTATCCCCTGGTGCTTGTGATGAGGCCTCCTTTGGCAGGAGGGTCTTAGCAGATGTGAGCAAGTTAAGATGAGGCCATGAGGGTAGGCCCTAACCAAATATAACTGGTGTCCTTTTAAGAAAAAGGAGAAGAGGCTGGGTGTGGTGGCTCATGCCTGTAATCCCAGCACTTTGGGATGTGGAGATGAGAGAACTGCCTGAGCCTACAGGTTCAAGATCAGCCTGGGTAACTTGGTGAGACTTCATCTCTACAACAAATCAAAAACAAAATTAGCTGGGCATGGTGGCGTGTATCTGTCGTTCCAGCTACGTGGATGGTTGAGGTGGAAGGA